GAGGTCCCCAGCTGGCTGTACACCCATGTCGGGCCTTGGGACCCTGGACCTGTTCTGGTAAGGGTGTCACCTGCCATTAGGGCCCCTGGTCTGCAGCAGAGGTCTCTGATGCTGCTGGTGTGGATCACAGAGAGCTTGTACAGTGAGACTGCAGCCTAGGCTCTGAACCTACCACTGCCTTCAGATTATGGGGTGTGGGTCCCAGCCAATCACACTGTAGCCTCCTCCTTGTGCTGTTGTGTTCCCCTCTGGCTTATCCATCTGTTTTTGACTGTGTCATTACTTCCCTGTGGTTTCCAGCACTGATGTTAGTGACCTCATTCAAGTCTAGTCTTCGTGCCCACCTACTTCCAGGGTGGCTGTGCCACATTGCCATCCTTGCCCCTGGCCTTCCCAGGAGACTCATCGTGATCTGGGCGGGCCCATGGTTCCCCCTCCTAAGTTAGTGCGATACTACGTTGAGCTTCAGTTTATTTCTTCTTGGGAACTTTCTTCCCCACCTGGCAGATGGCAGAGGGAAATTTCCCTTCAGAGTGTGCATGGTCACAAGAGGGCTGTGTCCCAGTCCCTTTCTCTGTCCCCATCCAGCTTCCCGATTCTTGGAATCTCAACATGGCTCTGTTCCTGGACCCTTAGCTCCCCCAGTGGGAGGGGGGTCTTTCTGAGCCAATGGGCTGGGCCTTGGCCAGTCTTGTGCTGCCCAGTCACTCAGTCCGTCCCTCAGGGAATGCAGGTGGCTCCTTTCCATGTGTTGCTATGTTGCCCAGGCTGGGCTCTACCTTGGGACTCTTCTGTTTCCCACTCCCTGTATGGCCTAAGGCGAGGCATGCACCCTCGCCCCTAGCTTCTAGGCAGAACCTAGATGTGGAGTGGTCCACATGTGGTGGCCAAGGCCAGGGTGGGTCTTTGCAAGCCCAGTCACAGGGCCAGCACTTACTAGGCAGAGTCAGAGGTGGCACCTCACAGAGCCCTGGCCTGTGCTTCGGGTGTGCATCTGGATGTGGGGACAGGAAGAAGAGCACATTGCCCATGCTGTGCACCCAAGTTCAGGGCAGTAAGGCCGCCTGGCGCTCAGGTGGCCAGGTGTGGTGGCTGAGGGTGCTCAGAAGGGGCGGAGGGCCTCGGATATGGGGTCCTGGTGCCTTGGTGGGACCTGGAATCTCCACAGTCACCCAGCCCTGGTGCTGCTGCTGAGAAGGAACGAGAGTGCCATGGCCAGTGTTACCCCAGTGCAGGCCAAGCGGCCTGGAGGCTGGAGGTCACAAGTCCCCAGGCCATTGCCCTAGGTAGACCTGCAATGTCCTTAGGGGTGACAGCTATTTCCTACAGCCAGGCTGCCCCAAGGGCTCTAGCCCATGGGCCCCGGAGATGGCTCTGTCACCCAGATTTGTACTGCTGGCGAGGCCACAAAGAGGCCTGTGCCTGCCCAGGGGCCAGGTATATCGCAAGCAGTTGGGAGCCCTGGGCTGCATAGTCTCCGCCTCCAGGTGGCAGGAACCAGTCTGGAGCCTGGCATGGCAGCACAGTGGCAGTGCTGCAGGGCTCAGGTGTTTGTGGGGCACAGCTGGGCCGCTCCAGCCTGCCCAGTGCTGTCGGCTCCAAGATACAGCAAGATGTAGATAGGGGACATGGGGGTCAATACCATGTCCCCAACCATGCTCTAAGGCAACAATAAAAATTGTAAACAAAGAACAGCTTTGAGACTCTCCCACCCCTCCTTTTCAGCTGCATCCCTTCCGTGTCTTTTCTGCACTTTATGCCCCAGCACTGAGTAGATGATGCTGTGTCCCCATAGGTGTCACTGGCCTGAGTCTGTCTCTGGGCACCGGATCTTCTCAGGGCCCCAAGCCCAAAGCTGCTCACATTGGTATGTGTGGTATCTTGTGCGGGGCCTGGGGCTGAGCCTTTCCCATGAGGCAGCAGCCCTGAGTCACCATGTTGGGGTAACCTCACAGTGAACGATGCTGTTGCTCAGAACAGGACGTCAGCTGGTTCCAGGGACCTGCTCCGTCTCTGTGTCCCTGTCAGGCTGGGCATGGCTAAAGTGTGTGCAAGCTGGACACACAGCAGGGGTGGCAGTGCACCTCTGTCATCCTAGCACTTGAGGGCTGAGGTAGGAGGCCTGCAGAGAGTTCAAGGCTGGCCTGAGTTACATAGTAAGAGCCTGTCTTAAAAAAAATAAAGAGGTCAATAAAAATAGTATACTTGGGGACAAGTGGTTGGTCTGCATTGGGACTGAAACTGGACTGGGCCATCCTCAGTGTCCCTTGCCCACAGGGGTGGGCTGGCCTCCTGAAGTGGGCAGTGACATCCTCTGTGCCTTGTCCCCTGCAAGTTGTTCCTCCTGGGGTCTTGCAAGGAGATGCTCATTACTCTACATGCTCTGCAGGGTCTGATTTGTTTTTGTTTTTGTTTTTGTTTTTGTTTTTGTTTTTTTTGTCTTTTTCCTTATCAGTACCGGGGATCGAACTCACAACTGCCTGCTTGCAAGGCAGGCGCTTATGCCACTGAGTTAAATCCACAGCCCCCTAGGATCTGGGTTTTTTAAAAATTAAATTTTATTTTATTTTATTCTGGGGAGTACTGGAATCAAACTCAGGACCTCACATTTACCAGGCAGGCACTGTGCCACTGAGCTATACCTCTGGCCCCATTTATATTTTGGTATTGGGAATTGAACTCAGGACCTCATGCTTACCAAGCAAGCACTGTGCCAGGTATATTCCCAGCCCTATGTTTTTATTTATTTTTTAGACAGGGTCTCACTGTGTAGTGCAGGCTGGCTTTGAACCCATTACGTAGCCCAGGCTGGCCTCAAACTCAGCAATCCTCCTGCCTCAGCCTCCCAAGTCCTGGGATGACAGGCCTGTGCCACCACACCTGCAAGGACTCCTTTTAGTCAATGTACACAGAAGGAGCGTTCCATCTCATTTCAGTGGACACAAAGAGATCTACTTAAATAAAAGTGTTTGACACATAAAGAATTTTGATGACCTAGCTGGGTATGGAGGTATATACCTGTAATCCTAGCACTCTATGAGACTAATTTCATCCTAGCCTGGGGTATTTTGGGACTGAGACCCTATCCAAAAATTGAAAAAAAATTTCTAATGGCCTAGGGCTGTATCTCAGTTTGAAAACTGGGTTTTACCCTCTGTACTCTGAAAAGGAAAAAAAAATTAGACGATTTGTGTATGTGAACCATCAGAACCCTAGCCAACACCTTTGGAAGTATACCCTTGGGGCATTAGGATAAGGTATAAGGTACCTGACACTCTAGGAAGTTCTGTTTATCAACAGTGAGACACTTACTTGACATCCCAGGTTGAATGGGTTTGGATATGTAGGTCCTGCTATCTCCAGTAGCTGTTGTTCGCTGACTGAAACTCAAGTCAGTGGAGGCCTGTGTTTTGTGTAAGATGCCCTAGCCTGTGGTTGAGGGGGCAAAGTCAAAGTCTTAGGAAGAAGAATTGGAGTTGGTCCATCCTAGGTCCTGCACAGCCTGCCCTTCCATTGTTGTCAGAAGGTCACTGAGGCCAAACCAGGCATTCTTGACACACTGCCATGTGGAAGTGCTTTGTGGAGTCTCAAACTCTTGTTAGGTGTGGCACTGATGACCCCTTTGGGATGGTGTCCCATAACAGACATATTGTGGCAGATGCCCAGGGCAAGGCAGGCATGTGCTCTGTGGAGATCAGGAGGAACACAAGCGCTCAGAATGCCTTGGCCTAGACATCTTTGCCAAAGCCTGATTGATCACAGGGTCTCTGAAACAAAACAGAACACAGACTACTCCATCAGTGGCTACCATGAGTCACTCCTATGTTTGAGAGTCAAGTCCCTGACTCAGGTGACCTAATGGACTCAGTCTGTTACCTGGTTTGCAGAGGTAAGTCAGTGTGGAACCCAGCTTCTTGTGCTGGGAAGGATGGTGCACTGTTCTGGTCCACACAGCCACTAGTCTTCCTGAGCCCTCTCCAAAGGGAACTGCAGCCACATACTAACGTGACATCTGTGAAAACAGGTGTGCCGGGCCCCACGTGTTAGTGACCTCGGTAAGTGTCACGCTAGCTCCCTCATCCCCACTGCCAACACCTTGCATGTCAAGACCCTGGTGACCAGGATTCCTGTTCTACCCACCTCCTCCTGGACAGTGCCTCGTGTGTGGGAGTGAAGGAGCTGACCCTACTCAGGCGGAAACCTGCCTCCCAGCCACTCTGGGCAGGGCGGGTTGAGAAGAGGGGACAGCCCCCTGAGGCTCTGGGACATGAAGCTCACGGGAAGTGGAGCGCGAGAGTTGGGGCAGGACTGGAGAGTGGCCTAAAGCTGGGTGTCCCTGCTCTATCCTCAGCGCGATGGTGTCGCCACCCTCCATCCCTTCCCCGAGTTTCCCCAGGGAAGGCACACTTCCTTCGGAGATGTTTCACTGTGGTCGGGATGGGGCGGAGGGCTCCTCCTCTGCCTCCTTTCTGCAGGAACGCCGACATCAGGTCTTTGGGAAATTGGGACTCTTCGGTTACGGGCAGGGCGGTTCTCCTGCTCCAGCCTTCCTGTTGACAAAGGAAGGCGGGCTGAGCCCCCAGCATGGCGCTTCCCGGCGGTGCCCGGAGGCCCAGAGTGCCAGTTCTGGGCTCCACAAGCGAGTGAACTGTTGCACAGCCGCCGCAAGTCCCAGGCAAAAGTCGGTCTTTCAACTCTTGAGGCATATGTGTGTTTTAATTACAGTAATTCCTTTTGCAAAAGTTCTACACCCAAAATGGCTCGCCGGAAGCTAGCTTTTTATGCCTATGTGTCCGAATCCCATTTGCCAGCAGGCCGCACACGGGTATGGTGTCATCACCTATCGGTTCTGCGCATGTGCCACGCCTGTCCCGCACGCAGGCGCAGAACGCTGCTCTATCTATGGTCCATAGGTTTGATAGAGCGTCCACTGGCTAGCGCTTCGACTCTATGGTTTCTACGTGCGAAGACAGACCGCCTATATAAGCCATGCGCAGGCGTGGGAGCGCCTCTTTTCTTTCGGCGCGGTGAGTGTGCTAGTCGTCGTTTGGTTTCTTGCTTTTCTTTTTGTTGTGGCTTGAGGCTTATCCTCCTGTGTTCCGACTTTGTGTCGTTGCAGCACCCGAAGACCCTTGGTGTCGCCATGGGACGCCGTCCCGCCCGGTGGTGAGTGCCAGATCCGTCCGATTTGGACGTTGGGGATCGAGAGATTCTTGCCTTTGGCTCCTTACACAATTTCTGGGTGGAGCTTCCGTTGTGCCATGCTCTCATGATGGGACCTGGGCCCATATTTCCTCTGATGTTTCCCTGAACGCTTTAATTTTCATTTGTACTATATGCTCTACTCCTTTGAAAGTTGTGGCGTTTTCTTGGTTTTGTTGGTGTGGCGGGTGTTGGTTGGTCCAAGACTGCATGTGCAGCACCAGCGTCGGGCTGCAAGCGATCTCTGCCAACATTCAAGCCTCATCTGATTAGAGATTTGCCGCATCATTGGGAGGGGGTCGATGACTCTGGAGGACTTTGTACCCGAATTGTGCCTTAATTTCCCAGAACCCTACAATGTGTTCTTAATCGGGTCGTGAGGGCAGTTCGAGTGTAGTCCCCTATTGCGCTGCAGGGGGCGCCTGGCGCCCTTCACGTGGCGCGGAGGCAGCTTCCACACCACGTGCCCGGAAGTGTGCTCGCGTGGCCCGCACTGTTGCAATGCTGCGGGCAATTTGTAGTGCGTACTGCCGTGAAAGGTAGTGGGCTTTTTAAGCAGGAAGGTATGAAGTAAAGTTAATTTTGTGTGGCGCAAACTTGGGCGGGGTAAGGTCAATGAGGACTCTGATGTTAGTCTGGGGTGTTCTCTGTTGGAGCCACCGGCTCACATGGAGCCGCTGTAGAGCCATTTTCTGCTAATGAAGACAGTTTATGGGAGATTAATTTGCCCTAGCCCTCCTGGTGGTTTTTTTCCCCTCTTTCATTTTGGCCTGGGAATATAATATAGTTCGGTACTGAAGAGCGCCTCAGTATGATCATCACATCAGAAGCAATCTAGGACCTGGGATTTAGCTCAGTGGCTTACGTGCCTGCCTGGCAAGCGTGAGGTCTTGAGTTCAATCCCCGGTACCAAAAAAAAAAAAAAAAGCCGGACACTTCTGGGGTGTCGGGCTTAAAGATTTCCTCCTGCCACGGCTCCCTGTTGGGACCGAGGGTGTGCATGCACCACCTTCCAATTGTTCTCAGCCCTCTTGTGCTGAGTTTGCCAAGCAGGCCTGACCTGCCCTGCCTCAGCCTTCCTGGTAGGCACCGCCCTCGCGCTGACGATTGTTTGGGGAACATCTCAAGAGCCTGTGGAGTTATTTGTGACTCGGTCTTTTTCTTTGCAGTTACCGGTACTGTAAGAACAAGCCCTACCCAAAGTCTCGCTTCTGCCGAGGTGTCCCTGGTAAGTAGTGACGGAGCTCCAAACCCCGCTTGCTGTGCTGCCGCCTTTGTTGGTCCCACTGCACCCTCCCGCACTTACCACGTTTTTTTCAGATGCCAAGATCCGCATTTTTGACCTGGGGCGGAAGAAGGCGAAAGTGGATGAGTTCCCACTTTGTGGCCACATGGTGTCTGATGAATATGAGCAGCTGTCCTCGGAAGGTGAGGGTGTCCCTTCTTCGTCACAGTGCCCTTCTCCCTCTCCCTGGCACCAGTGTCTCCTGCATCCTCGCCCAGTTAATGAGGCCCTGCCAAGTGAACTGCGCTGTTCTCTTGCGCTCCCCCCCCCCCAGCTCTGGAGGCCGCCCGGATTTGTGCCAACAAGTACATGGTGAAGAGCTGTGGCAAAGATGGCTTTCACATCCGTGTGCGGCTCCACCCTTTCCACGTCATCCGCATCAACAAGATGTTGTCCTGTGCTGGGGCTGACAGGTGAGCCGGGCTTGGCCCTGTTCTCGGGACTTGAGGGCCCCTGTGCTGCATGTGACCTGTAGTCAGGGTACAGGGGTGATAGTATGTAAGCTCAACAACCCTTGGTGTGGGATCAAGGTAAGGGCTGGCAAGTGGGTTTCATGCACACTTGGCCGATCTGCAGCCGGTAACTGCCTCAGCAAAGCCCAGTAGCTGCAGAAGTAAATGAACCCTGGCTGCCCTAAGGCCATGATGGCACTTGAAGTGCTTTCTGCCTCTGTATGATTAGAAATCATCTGCAAGCTGGCATGGTGGTACACGCCTGCCTCAGCACTCAAAAGCTAAGGCAGGAGTTGGAGGCCATCCGTGGCTACACAGTGATATCCTGTCTCAAAACTGAACATCTAGCAGCAAGTAGTTGGGAGACTGTTGTGGCCTGCAGCAACATGCAGGGGTGTCACGCCATGGGGGGGGATCTCATAGACTGCAGTCAGTTAAGCCGACTGGGCGCCTTGGCTAGTGGGTGCCCAGTGTGCAATGGCTGCAGACAGCAACCTCCTTGGTAGTGTACGCAGCCTGTTGCTGGTATGGGCTGCCCCAAGGGACCTTGGAGACATTGCTTTTGACGATGGATGTTCTCTCGTGTCTGATCACCTCCCACCCCCAATCCAGGCTCCAGACTGGCATGAGGGGTGCCTTTGGGAAGCCCCAGGGCACAGTGGCAAGGGTTCACATTGGACAGGTAATCATGTCTATCCGCACCAAGCTGCAGAACAAGGAGCATGTGATTGAGGCTCTGCGCAGGGCCAAGTTCAAGTTTCCTGGGCGCCAGAAGGTAAAAGCCGTGCCATAGCCCCCTTTCCAGGCAATCCTGGTCTTCCATGCTGAACTCCTTTCCTGTCTCCCTAGATCCATATCTCTAAGAAGTGGGGCTTCACAAAGTTCAATGCAGATGAATTTGAAGACATGGTGGCCGAGAAGCGCCTCATTCCTGATGGCTGTGGGGTGAAATACATCCCGAATCGTGGTCCCCTGGACAAGTGGCGGGCCTTGCATTCCTGAAGGCTTCCACTGCCCTGTCCCCCACAGCAAGCTCATGAATAAATCTTATCTCTGCCCTACTTAATGTGTGTGCTGCTGTTCAGAGGGCAGAGGTGGACAGGAGGGCCTAAAGTATGTGCTCTGCATTGTGTGCACCCAGGGCCAGGCCCTGGCCCTTCCCCTGGTGGGAAAGCTGGTGCTGGGCCAACAGGAGGCTTACTAGTGTCTACAGTAGTGGGCTTGGCCGCCTCAGACCTATGCTGCTCCCAATACCTACCTGTAGGCTCCTGCCAGTGGAGTTTGTAGTGGCTTGGGGATCCCAGGTCCCAATTGCAGGAATTGTGGCTGTGGTTCCAGAGCTGTGGTCAGGAGACCTTGGACTTTTCATAATTTTTATTTGGAGCCTTCCTAGTGTTTCAGATTACCTTTATTTTGGACCTCAGGGAGAAGGCTGTAAGTCATAAATGGAAGTGGCCTCAATTCTGTCACCTTGGTTCCACGCCCTGTGCCCGTGTCACACAGGTTATACTTGCCACAGGACTGGGCTGGGTGGTTTTTGGGGATACCTTATCTCTCCTGTCTGCCCGTCTGGCCTTCTTGTTGGGCCGGTTCCCACTGCACTGGTTTGCTTTTTGTCACAGAATACTTGGATCTGTTGTGATCCATGAAGGGTTTGGCTGAGGTGAGAGCCTGAGCCAGGCTATCCCTTCTCAGGCTACAATGGCTTGTCTCTTGGCCCCTGATGGTGCCGAGTGGGTGGCCAAGGTTCAGCCTCAATTCCTAGCTCAAAAGGCAAAGCCATGGGAACCTAACCCTAAACTGGAGGGTGGGCGAGCAAAAGGGCCTTGGGAGTTGCCTATGGCTTAGCTGAGGACAGAGATGGCAGGGTTTGAGTCAGGCGACCAGGCTACACTGAAGGGTCAGGAGTGGCAGCAGCACTGACACTGGTAGCAGCAGGAAGGCCAGGCTGGGAGGCTGCACGCAGTGTGTAGCCTTGTCCAGCTCCACCTCCACAGGGTAGTGGTCACTGATGGTAAGGGCCTGCAAGGGCAACATGTGGCATCAGGCTGGGGTTCCCTCTCCCCAGCCACCCTCCCAGCCTGCCCCTACCTCCTCCTCAGAGAGCTGGAAGCTCTGGGGGAAGTTGAAGGCCGAAGCAGTACGCATCAGCCCCTGGCAGGTCACACCATGCAGCACGATGCGGTCATAGGTGCAGTTGGTGCTGGCGCGCACAGTGGTGTCCTCGCCATCAGCAATGGCCCAGCTGAAGCCCACCTCGGTGCGCAGCAGCAGTGTGTTCAGGCGCTTCTTGGCCAGCGAGGCACAGTCGGCATTGAAATCCCCCAGCAGAATGATGTCCTAGGACATAGAGGTGTTGGCCTGGCCTCCTGGCTCATGGCTCCCCACTCCCCCACCCCTATGCCAGCTGTGAAGCCCAACCTTGCTCTGCCAGCGGCGGGCAACATCCAGGAATACGGTATGGAGGGCATTCAGCTCATTCTCCACGTCCTTAGGGGTGGTGTGCAGTGGGACCAGCGCCACACTGGGAAGGACTGCAAGACCCAGGAGCCAGGGTTGCCACCCACTGCAGGCTGCACCTGCCTTCCTCTGCCCCTGCTGCCCCACCAGAGCCAGCCAGACTCTACCACCGTGGTCCCTTCCTACTTTTACTAGGCAAAGTGAACTGGGCCACAAAAGGCTCCCGGGCAAATAGGTCATCCTCATCTTCATACTGGTAGAAATTCAGGAGTTGGGTCTTGTCGGACCTGGGAGGACAAAGGGTAGGAAGCAGTTGCCTCGTTGCTTGGCTTTTTGGTTCACTGGGGTTTTTTGAGACAGTCTTGCTATGTAGTGTAGGCTGGCCCCAAACTTGAAGCAACCCTCCTGCCTTAGCCTTTGGCTTCTTATTTCCTGGCCCTGCCGGTTTCATGTTGGCACAACCTTTTCTCTAGAAAGTGGCTTGTTTTTTGAGACGGGGTCTCATTATGTAGGTCCAGCTGGCCTTGAATTTGCAGCAGTCCTCTTGCCTCGCCTCCCAAATACTGGGATGACAGGTGTGAGCTACCATGCCCAGCTTTTGTAATTTAAACAAAACATTTTTGTATGTGCTGGAGATCAAACCCATGGCTTTTCACCTGCTAAGTGCACATTCTCCTCAGTGATGCCCCCAGCCCCTTAGAACACTTTTGGGGATTGGAAGGGGTTGGGGTCTCTCTGAGTCTCAGCCTCTCAAGTAACTGGAACAACAGATGTGTGCCAGGGACCAGCTATAGCTTTTTAGTTTTTTATCAAGATAAAATTCATAGTGAGGTACGGTGGCACATGTCTGTCAGCCCAGCACTCTAGGAAGCTGAGGTAGGAGGGTCACAAACCAGTGCAGTCTGGGCAACTTAGCAAGACCCTGTCTCGAAGTAAAAGTAAAAAAGGGTTCTGGGAGTGTAGCTCAGTTCAAAGTCCCTGGGCTCAGTCCTCAGGACAGAGAGATGTAACTCGCATGTCTTAAAACTCACCTATTTAAAGTGCACAGTTCCATGGCTCTGAGTCCATTCCAGGAATGTCAACTGTCACCACCACTGATTTCAATACCCTTGTTACCCTCGAAAGGACCCTGATACTGTGCCCACATGCAGTTCCACTCTACCTCTTCCCAGTCCTTGGATGCCACGAATCTGGTGACCATTGGTGACTGGCTTCCCTTTTTAGCACGATGGTTTGGAGATGACCCTGCACTGAGGCACATGTGGGTCCTCTGTTCCTTGAATGCTGAGAGATGCCACCAGAGAAGTGTACCACACTATCCCCTGTTCTCAGTTCCCAGATGTCCAGACAGGGACAGCACCCACTTTTTTTTTTTTTTTTTTACAGTATTGGGGGCTGAACCCAGGGCCATACATTGCTGTACATTCTCAGTTCTTTTTATTTTTTATTTTGAGACAGTGTCTTGACAAAATCCCCTGGCTGGGCTCAAACTTGTGACCCTCCTGTCTCGCACCCTGGAGTGCTGGGACTAAAGGTAGCCCATCTACCATTTTGGGCTTTTATGAATCACAAGCATTCATGTTGGGACATGTTTTTATTTCTCCCAGATAGACACCAAGAGGATGTAATTATTTTGGAGTAAATCGCAGATTATATAATTTCATCTATATAGAAAAACAGGTCTCTTTCCTAATGGTCTGCCCCTTGCTTAATTCTGATTCCAAAGAGTTCTTCCCAGGGAGCCCCTCTTCCAGAGCCTTAAGGTGATTTTTTGGATCTTTTTTTTTTGAGACAGAGTCTCCCTATGTAGTCCAGGCTAGCCTGGAACTCATGATGATCCTCCTGCCTCAGCCTCCTGAGTGCTGGCATGACAAGCCATCTCATAGCAAGGCCAGGGCTACCCTGCACCTCCCACCCTGTGCTTACCGGTAGATGTACACATACTTCTCCTTGTATGTGCTGCGCCCCAGCTGTGGGCTGTTTAGGAAGCCGTAGCACCTTGAGTTGTAGAATTTGCTGCAGAAAGGGAAGTGGGGTCAGGGCCTGCAGCGTGGGGGCCCCAAATGGTTGTACAGTGTCGTGCTCACCTTCTAAGTTCTTCTAGCAGGAAGGAGATGGTCTTGTTGGAGGCGTCCACCACCTCCTGCAGCACCATAATGTCACAGCGAGCCAGGATCTGCAGGACACCGGAAGGCCAGCCCTGCTCAGAGCCACCCTGGCCCCAGAGGGCAGAGGGCCTTGTGGTACAGAGGGAGAGAGTGGCACACAGCAAGCACCATCCTCTTCCTTATGCGCGTAAGGCCCAGATGTCCCTTCCCGGGGACTGGGCTCTGGCTCATGGTCCTTGGGACACAGATCACTCCATGGCCACCATACCTGTACTAAGGTGTCCTTTACTTGCTCCCTGGTCACCTTGGCCAGCGTCAGCCGGTGGGCATTGAAGGCGCAGATGCGAAAGGCTTCGGCCTGACTGGCCAGGAAGAGGAGCAGCAGAGTGGTGGGGCCATGCATGGCTGCGCATGTGCCAGGGCCCTGCAGTGTTGCTTAGTCTCATTCAACGGGGCCTGGCTGGGCGGTGCTAGTCCTGCTGCAGCCCTGCAGGTCCCCACCTCCCTGCTGGGAGAGCCCTGCCAGTGTAGAATGCACCACCTTAACCAGGTGGGTGACAGTCTAGTGACCTGGTGCATGTGCCCATCCCCAGAATGTCTCCATCTTCCCAAACTGCAATTCTGTACCCTAACACTAAGTGTAACTCCTGCCAGGTGTGGTAGTGCACACTTGTGATCCCAGCACTCCAGAGGCCGAGGCAGGGGGATTGCTGTGAGTTCAAGGCTAGCCTGGGTTACACAGTGAGTTCAAATACAGCCTCAATTACATAGTGAGACCCCATCTCAAAAAACCAAAACCCTTAAAACAACCCCTGTAAACCAAAACCAAACCATAGAGAAAAACAAAGAGGGAGACAAACCCCCTCAAAACATGACTGCCTTCCCTGGCTCCAGGCCCTAGAACTCCCTATTCTGCCATCTGTTAATACACATTTGACCACACTCGAAGTGACATAATATCTGTCCCTTGATGTTCTTGTCCTACTGATGTCCTGGCCTGACACTCAGTCTTGTTGGCTAGCAGGTATGAAATGGCCTTCCTTTTCAAAGCTGACCACTGTTCCAGGCATCACAGACATGTTTTACTTATGTACTCACCACCCAGGAATACTGGGTTGCCCCTCATTCTTGGCCACTTCGAATAATGATGCCAGGCTGGCCTAGAACTTGTGGCAATCTTTCTGCCTCGGCCTCATGAGATCTGGGATTATAGGTATGCATCACCATGCCCAGCCTAATTTCCTGTTTTTGATGGCTTTGGGTTTTTTCCCAGAAGTGGAGTTTGTGTATCATATGATGGTTCTATTTTGAATTTTTTGAGGAAATGCCATACTGTTTTGGCATAGCTGCTGTACAGTTTTCTTTCTGTACTTTTTTTGTACCAGAATTGAACTCACAACCTTGTGCTTACCAGACAGGCTCTGTGCCACTGAGCTATATCCCAGCCTTTTTTTTTTTTTTTTTTTTTTTTTTGTCTTTTTGAGACAGGGTCTCACTATGCAGTTTAGATTGGACTTAAAGTCACCTTGTAGCCCAGGCTGGTCTCAAACTCTCAATGATCCTCCTGCCTCAGCCTCCTGAGTGCTGGGATTACAGAACTGCACCATCATGCCTGGCATTTTCCATTGCACAAGGTCCAATCTCCTAAACTGCTGCTCCCACAGCGTTTGCCCTCCCAGTACCAAGCCTCCATCTCAGGAAGGCCCAGATTCTCCCCTCCACTAGGAGATGAGGAACCTCTCTCTCCTGGCACTGCTGGCCTCAAAGGTATATGCATTTGATATACCTTTTATATACAGCTGGCCAGGCATGGGCATGCATCTGTACTCCTAGGCAGTGTGGCAGTGTGTGACGGGGTGTCCTCCCGTGGCCAGGAGCCTCTTTGCTTACCTCACTGCTCCGAGCTCTTCTTTTTCTGAACATCTCTCAGTTTGTCTGTCTTGGTCTCCCTTTGACTGTGCTCTGCCTTTTTTTTTTTTTTTTTTGGATACTGGGGACTGCACCTAGGGTCTTCACACTGAACCACATCCCCAGCCTTTTTAAAAAAGGTCTTTGAGTCACAGTCTTGCTACGTTGCCCAGGACGGGTTTGAATTTGTGATCCTTCTGCCTCAGCCTCCCAGAGTGCTGGGATTTCAGGCATGATTCTGCAGCCCTAGTCTTAGTGAGGGAAGCCTCTGTCTTCTCAGCCACCTCTCCCTTTCCCCTCTGGTCACTTCTGCCTGCCTGTCCCTCTCTCTCCCTTCGCTGTTCTCCCTGCTCTGTGCCTGTCACACAGAGCGAGCTTGTGTATTCCCCACCGCCACCCGACACCTGTTCTGTCACTCATGCTAATCTGGGTCTCCGTCCTTTTACCTATTCTGGGACACACGTGGGCCTCAGGACAGCCCTGTGCTGCTACAGGCGGGACTGCAGGCCGCGGGGCCAGGAGTTCCCACCGGGCCATGGGCCAGAGGGCCAAAGCCATGGCTTCTGGCCTCACCTCAGCCGGGCCCTCAGTGCCAGCCTTGGTCCAGCCCTGGGCTCCGTCGCCTCCCAACACGCTCCCTCTTTCCCTCCGTCTGCAGAGTTCTCATACCTGCCACACCCGTCCGCCACCGCGCCTGCCTTAGTCTTAAACGGATCGCGACAACCGATGGGGTTGCTGCGCCTGCCTGGGTGAGAACCCGAGCCGGAAGAACGAGGAAGTTGTGTTCCTGTCTCACCCAGCGGAGCCCGGCGGGACATCAGTCCCAGCCATCCGGCCAGCGGGCCTAGGCCCCGCCCCGCCCCGCCCCGCCCCTCCCTCCTCGCCGGGGCCGCCCCGCCCCGCCCCGCCCCCTGCAGGGAGGTCGGCCGGCCTGGGAACTGCAGAACTAGAAACTAGAACTGGGAACTAGAGCCTACCTCCTAGGCGGCGTGGGATCTTGCACGGGCCAAGGCGAGGCCTGAAGAGCCTGAGAGCCGCGGGAGGCGGCTGGCCCGCAGCCGCCCTGCAGAATTCCCCGAGGATCTGCGACCTGGGCCAAGGCCTGGGCGAGAGGAGATGGCGCCGAAGAAAACCCCAGATTCCCCCCAGGTCTTGCAGCGTGACCGTGCAGTACGGTGTCATGACCTCGAGCTTGCCAGGCAGGCGCTTATGCCACTGAGCTAAATCTCCGGCCCAGTTGGCTAGCTTTTGGTTTGGTTCGGTTTGGTGCTGGGAACGAACCCAGGGCCTCTCCCATGCAAGGCCAATGTTCTGCCACCACACTTCATCCCAGACCCTTGTAAAAAATGTTTAGGCCAATAAAATGGTGTGGTGGTGCAAGGCTCGGGAAGCTGAGCCAGGAGGATCACCGTGATTCGAGGCTAGGCTGGGTTTACAAAGTGAATTCAAGGCAACATGAACTACATAGCAAGACCCTGTCTCAAAAAACCAAAACCCAAACAAATTATGGTTTAAAAATTACATTAAGTGCTCGACTCAGCAGCACACATACTAAAATTGGAACGATATAGAGATTAGCATGGCCCCTACGCAAGGATGACACACAAATTAGTGAAGCGTTCTACATTAAAAACATTAAACATACAAGTGAGACAGCAATGGTTTTTAAAACCTCTCCCCTTTGGTACTGGGGTTGAACCCAGGACCTTTGCACCGAAGTCTATATTTATATCTACAGACCGTTTTTAAATTTTAAGGCAGAGTTTTGCTTAAATTGCTCAGGCTGTGCTTGTATTTGAAGTCAGTCCTCCTGCCTCAGCCTCCCAGAGTGCTGGGTTTACATGCACACACCACATTGCCTGGTAGGGACAGGACTTTTGGAGTTAGCAATATGTTTTGGAAGAAAAGGTAGTGGTTGACAGCGTTGTTACTGTACTCAATGTATTGTTAATGTACTAACACTATATTATATGTATGTAATTATATAACATCTTATTGTTCACACCGTACTATAGTATATATTACATGTCCTGTCATTACATTCTGTTTCACACACACATATACATACCACATAGTACAGCCATGTAATATTTGCAATTATGCAACATTGAATTTTTTGTTGTTGTTGTTTTGGGAGACACGGTTTTGCTGTGTTTGTCAGGCTGGCCTGACACGATACTCCTTGCTTCAGCCTCCTGAATATTGGGATGATGTGCGCAGTGCCCGGCTGTAAAATTGTGTATTTGTAATTACATAAAACTATATAGTAATATATATGTGTACTGTATATTTAATTCTATGTCATGCGAATTTTCCCTCAATAAAAATAAAGGGTAAAAAATAAAAGGGTTCCCACAGCCTAGACCTTCGGTCGCCTCCGGTGTTCGTGCTGCGCAGTCCCTGGCACACACAGACTTCAGTTAAGAACTCCGCGCCCAAAGGCGCCGCAGGTGGCGAGCCCGGAACCCGGACCGCGGGGCCGCGCGGGAGCTAGCAGGGTCCCACCCCCGCTGCCGTCAAGCGCCGGGCGCGTTTCACGACAGGAGGCGGAGAGCCGGGCGCCTCAGCGGGCTCGCTTTCCGGCGGCGCGCGGGTCCCGCTTGTCGCTTGCCCCCCCCTCCGGCCTCCGGCCTCCGGCCCCTGGCCCCGGCGGCAGGTCCTGTGTGGCGCCGCACTGGCCTCACCTGCGAGGTGGCCTTAGCCAGGGCCCCCGTCTCGCGGATCCGCGGTCCCGTGGGTGCCGGAGGCTGTTCAAGACCCCTCCGGCGACTGAGGACCCGAACCCAGGACGGCCAGTCCGCGGGCTGCCCGGGCCGGCGCAGGGCCGGGCGATGCCCCTCCATGTGCGCTGGCCGTTCCCCGCTGTCCCGCGGCTCACATGGACCCTGGCCAGCAGCGTCGTCATGGGGCTGGTGGGCACCTACAGCTGCTTCTGGACCAGTGAGTGGCCCGCAGCTGAGGCAGAGTCCGTCCCCTGGACCGACACTGGCCGGAGCCGGAGCTTGGGGTGGAGGCGCGGCGACCTTCCCGGCGGAAGTTTTCCTTGGGCAGATGGCAGGGGCTGAGACTGAGACCCTCTCCTCCCCTCAGAGTACATGAACCATCTCAGTGTCCATAACAAGGAGGTGCTGTACGAGCTCATCGAGAACCGAGACCCCAGCACGCCCCTCATCACCGTCTCCAACCACCAGTCTTGCATGGACGATCCTCACCTCTGGGGTACTGGGCTGGGTGCTGGGCGCGGGGAGGCAGAGAAGGAGGCCAGTGCGAATGCCCTACTCCGTGGGTCGGAGATGCCCTGCCTCTGGGATCAAGTTCCACTTGTGGCCCGTTGGCTAGCTCCTCAGGGTTGCAGAAATGTGAAAGGACAGGAAGTGGCCACAGGGCAAGCCCGAGGCAGGAGGATCGCCACAAGCTCCAGGCCAGCCTGGGCTTCATGTGAGGCCCTGCCTTGGAAAACAAGAAGAGTGGAAGTTGTCAGGGGCACCAGGGACACAGCAGGGTCACATTCTGATGAATAAGCTATGGGGGGGTTGAGGGCAATCTGGGTGTCCCGGCCAAAAGGCTAGAAGGTGCCCCTGAAATGAGGTGACCCAGAAGGATGTGTCTTGGAGGAAAGCACGCCAGACATGCAGCCCCTCCTCTCCTTTCCCAGGGATCCTGAAGCTCCGCCACATCTGGAACCTGAAGCTCATGCGCTGGTGAGCAGGCCCTGCCTGAGTTTACCCTCCTGTCCCCTCAGAAGTGGCAGCCACCATCCAGGCAGGGCACAAGGTGTGGCCCATGGGCCCCCAACCTGGGCAGCAGTGACCAGGCCTGTCCTTGCCTCAGGACCCCGGCGGCGGCGGACATCTGCTTCACCAAGGAGCTGCACTCTCGCTTCTTCAGCCTGGGCAAGTGTGTGCCCGTGTGCCGGGGTGAGCAGTGCCTGCAGTGCCCGTGGTGCCTGTGGGGCGGGGTTGCTGTGCCTGCTTCTGTCTTGGAGTACAGTGGCCTGTGTGTGACTGGGTGGGTGCCAGGGACAGCATCAAATGGTGTAGAGGTAACAGAGGCCGCTGGGGAGGGGTGGATCGGGAGGGCTAGCCTCTGGCATGAGGACTTGGAGATAAGAGCCTCACTGGCAGTAGTCGGTGCCACCTGCTTATGATGGCAGTAGCTTGAATTGGAAGGCCAGCAGGCTTTGCTTCTGGGAGAGCAGACAGGCTCGTGGGGCAAAGTGTCTGAGACTGAGTAACATCTGGCAGCACTCAAGAACTCCCTGAGCAATGGACCTTTGTTTTGTCTTGTTATACTGGGGTTTTTTTTGGGGGGTACTAGGGGATTGAACTCACAACCTCGAAATTACCAGGCAAATGCTTGAACCACTGAGCTAAATCTCCAGCCCTTTTTTAGTGTTTTTTAAACACTAAAAACTAAACTACACTCCCATGTAGTCCAGGCTGGCCTCGAATATGTGGTGAACCTTCTGACTCAGGCTCCCAGTGGCTAGGGTGATAGATGAGTACCACCACACTAGGCCTCTGGAAGGGCATTTTTTTTTTTTTTGTCTTTCTCCTTTTTTTATTGGTACCAGGGATCGAACTCACGACCGCCTGCTTGCAAGGCAGGAGCTTATGCCGCTGAGCTAAATCTCCAGCCCCTGGAAGGGCATTTTGATCCCTGTTCTCCAGACAGAGCTCTGAGAGCTTAAGCTGCTTGCCAGGTGATACAAGAGGTGGAAAAACCATAGCTGTTCAGATTGGCCTTTTCTTGGGAAACGGAGAGGAAGGGAAAGATGTTTGGAAGGCAGTCACACACATACCAGGTGCTAGAGGGGTAGAAAACTGTGATGGTGGGAAGGCTGGGAAGGTTCTGGAATGATGTTGTTAAGACTGTTGAACTCTTAGCTGGGTGTGGTGATACTTGCCTGTCACTCCAGCCAGTGGGATCCTGAGGCAGGAAGATCTCCGTGAATTTGAGGCCAGCCTGGGCTACATAGTGAGATCCTTCTCAAAACATTGGAAAACCTGGGATTCAGGGACAGGATCCATTGCTATTTAGCCACAGACATGGAGGTGAGATTCCAGAGGATGTGTGGCAAGAGCACAGAGAGAGAAGCCACCAAGGTGGCAGTGCATGACAGTCAGGGAGAAAAGTGACCTTAGGTAAGCGGTTTCCATGGAGTGATGACCATAGGAAGTGGCCTTCTGTGGCCTGCAGTGGCGTAAGGGACAGTAGCGGTGGTCAGTCTTCTCAGAGCGTTGTTGTGAGGAAGAAAGGGAGGAGAAAGGATCCGTAGGAAGTCAAAGGAAGTTGTTATTATTTTGCGTTGGCGAAAAAGATGGCAAATCCTCGAGTAACCAGAGCGCTCTGGGACACTGAAGTAGAAGGATTGCAAATTTGAGCCCAGCCTTGGCAATTTAGTGACACTCTGCAAGAAAAACCAAAAGAGGGGCCAGGGATTTAGCTCAGCGACATAAGCACCTGCCTGGCAAGTGCAAGGTCGTGAGTTCCATCCCCGGTACCACAAGAAAAAAAAAAAAAAAGAGCGGAGAATGTACCTCTGTGCAGAGGCCCAGGGTTCAATCCCCAGTACCACAGACACACACACAAAGGAGAGAAGAAAAGACAAAGAAAGTGAGTGAGGGCGAGGCAGGGGAGTTAGTCATCATGCACATGTCACCTGCCTGAAGCTCTGACTACATGCCAGGCGCCCAGGACATACCAGCGTGCCTTGGCCCTGCCTTTCCCCAAGCCCAGGCTCCATAATGTGATAGTCCAGGACTGGACGCTGCGCAGAGTGGATGCAGCATTGGCAAAAGCTCTGCTGAGACACGTCTCCCACATCTGGTGTGAAGCTCTGTCGATGGGTGCTGGCAGAGACTGTGACCCCAGGTGAAAGACCCCATGCACCCCCAGCCTCTAGGTAGCTGTGGGCCAGGTCCCAATTTGGGTTGTATTGAGATGGCTTGATGCCTGGCTAGAACTGTCCTTGTGGAGGACAGGGTAGGAGTCTGCAGTTAACACACTGGCCAGAAATGATCCCAGCCTGTCTACTGTGTTTCCCCACTTTATTTTATTTTAGTTATTTTTGGTGTTTTGAGATAGGTCTCACTATTGTAGCTCACGTTGTTCTTGAACTCAGCGATATTTCTGTCTGAGCCTTCTGAGAGCTGGGATGACAGGTGTGTGTGCCACACAAAGCTAATAGGATACTGTTCAATTTTAAAGTCAAGGTCCAGGGTGGCCATGGTGGAGCAGGCCTGGTGCAGTCATTGAAAGGTGTCTGCGCATGGTGCATTGGGTGTGACGAGTCCCCAAGGCGTTGCCTGTGTCCCAGTTTGGGACAGTGTCTTCATAAAGAGTGTGCAGGATAGAGACTGATGGGATCAGGTCCTTTTCTGCAGGAGATGGCGTCTACCAGCGGGGCATGGACTTCATCCTGGAAAAGCTCAACCACGGAGATTGGGTGCACATCTTCCCAGAAGGTGGGTGTCGCTGCAGGGTTGGGCAGCGGGGATCCCGGGCCTGGCCTCACTGTGCTTTCTCCACAGGGAAGGTGAACATGAGCTCTGAGTTCCTGCGCTTCAAGTGGGGTGAGCCCTGCTGGCTGCCCTGGGCCAGGCCTGTGGGCGGCAGGGGACGGGGGCCAGGCAGTGATCCGGGTGCTACCTGGCAAGTGGGTCTCAGTGGGAACTGGCAGGGTGGTGCTGGCTGGGTTGGGGCAGGATGGCTGGGCACAGCCCATGCCAGCCTTTCTGCCACTTCCCTGGCAGGAATCGGGCGCCTGATTGCTGAGTGTCACTTGAACCCTATCATTCTGCCGCTGTGGCACGTGGGTGAGCCCGGGGCTCCCTGGATGGGGCGTGAGGGTTATGCTGGGTGGCCCGGGCCCCTCTGTGCCTAGGCTACCTGTGACTCCAGTGCAGTCACAGCTTTCTGTGTCCTGTGCTACAGGAATGAACGACGTCCTTCCTAACAGTCCACCTTACTTTCCTCGCTTCGGGCAGGTGGGTGGGCACTGCCACTCCTCTGTCCATTCATCCATCCGTCTGTCTGCCTGCTGCCCACCATGTGTGTCCTGGTCCATGCTGCAGAGGCCCAGAGTGGAGACCTGACCCCAGAGCCTTTGAAACCTGGGGCAGGGATAGGCCTTGGGGTCAGAAAGGGGCAGGTCATTTAGGATGGGTCCCAGGACTACAGTGGCCCATCTGCTGGTTTTATTGTAATTTATTTGGTTTATTGAGACAGGACCTCACTGTGTAGCCCAGGTTGCCCTCAAACTCACAGCAGTCCTCCTGCTTCAGCCTCCTGAGTGCTGGGATGGCAGCCAGTTGCCACCACACCTGATCCCAGTTACTTGTTTTAAAGAGAGAGATTGGGACAGGGATGTAGCTCAGCAGCATAAGTGCCTGCCTGGCAAGCACAAGGTCCTTAGTTCGATTCCTGGTAGCCCAGTCCCCCCAAAAGAGGGAGATCAGTGAGAGTGTGTGCAGTGCATGGGGGGCTGGGAGGAGGACTGACTCCAGCTCCAGGGTGGCTGGGGCAGGGATGGCGGGGTGGGGGGGTCTCCCTGCTCCATGGTACCCAGCAGCCGACTCCCTCCACAGAAAATCACCGTGCTCATCGGGAGGCCCTTCAGCATGCTGCCAGTGCTTGAGCGGCTCCGGCTGGAGAACAAGTCAGCTGTGAGTTTCCTCCAGGCCCTGCCGTCTCCTGGGACGCTGCCTGTGGTCCTTGGTTCAGGCCAACCCAATCCTCGTCCCCAGGTGGAGATGCGCAAGGCCCTGACAGACTTCATCCAGGAAGAGTTCCAGTGCCTAAAGAGCCAGGCCGAGCAGCTGCACAACCACCTGCAGTCGGGGAGCTAGGGGCCCGAGCCCAGCCACAGCTAGGCCTAGGTTGGCGTGCTGGGCTCCGAGTGGTGCCAGGTGGGCGTGGACCCTGCCCTGTGCCTGCTTCCAGCTGGTGCTCTAGCCCAAGGAAGGGCTCTGCTGCCGTCCTCTGGGCCATGGAGCAAGAGGAGGCTGAGGCGGGGCCACTCCTAGGGCTGGCGTTGGGAGAGGCAGAGTGGGCACCTCAGTGGGGACAGGTGGCCTCTTCCCACCCACTCTTGCCGGTCCAGAAGTTGCTCAGGGATGGCTGTTGCCATGTCTTCCTTTTTTTTGTTTTGAGACAGTGGCTTACTGTGTAGTACAGGCCAGTAGGAATTGACTTGGTAACTCAGGCAGGTCTGGAACTTGCAGTGATTCTCCTGCCTCAGCCTCCCAGGTGTTGGGATGACAGGTGTGTGCCGCCATGTCCAGTTCCCATGTCTTCCTTCTAAAGCCCAGGTTTCCCACTTCGGGGCCTGGGCCAGGACAAGGTGGCCACAGGGTCTAGCCAATAAGTAGCAAGAGTAGAAGATGAGGTATGTCCAGGTAGACCTTGGTCACCCTGTGCAGGGCTATGACCTCCCACCCACCGTCTGCTGTCCAAGCCCTCTTGTCCTGGCTCAGGGTTTCTGTGTGTTTTCAACAATAAAGCATTTGTGTCATGCTGTTGTATCTCTGGCCTCTCTATCGGGATAGGGATGCATGGGGAGCTCTAGAAGGCAGGACTTGCGGAGCGTGGTGGCGCGCGCCTGTCGTGCCAGCACTGGGAGGCTGAGGTGGGAGGATCACTGAAAGTTCAAGGCTACATAGCAAGATGCTGTCTCAAAAAAGAAAACAGAAACCCAAACAGGCAGGACTCATCAAGTGTGAACACTCTGGGTTCAGTCTCTAGAACTGCAAAAATCAAACCCAAATTGTGTTCATAGTTAGGTGCTGGGACTGTCCTTACGTCCAGATTCCAGGTCAGCTGAGCCCTCAGTTCATAAGCAGCCCCTTCTGGGAACAACCAGGCACTGTGACAACATGTCCACATAAACATGCATGCAGTGCTGGGGACTGAACCCAGGGAGCACTGAGCTGCGGTCCCAATCCTTTTATTTTTGTATGTATTTATTTAGTCTTGTTGGGACAGGCTCTCACTCTGCAGTTCAGGCTAGCCTGGGGCTTACTTGGTAGCCCATGCTGGTTTCAAACTTACGAATGATTCTCCTGCCTCAGCCTTCCAAGTGCTGGAATTCCAGGACTGCGCCAAGATGCCTGGCTTTATTTTTTTTTAATTTTGAGATAATGATCTGGTGAAGTTGTTTAGACTAATCTCCAACATGCTATACTGCCTCAGCTTTCTGAGTAGCTGGGATTCTACATACGCATCACTACATCTGGCTCATGCTCACTTCTTTTTTTAAAATTTATTTTATTTTAAAGAGACTAGAACCCAACAAAACAAAACCGAATACAGCCAAAGCGAAGCAATGAACGGGGCGCAGAACTTCAAAACAGGACAATAGGAAATCAACAGTGGCTATCAGAGTGTATCTTGCTATCTTCACAGTAGTCCATACCATCAGACATAGCAAAATGAAACAAAATAATAAAAGCATTCAAAACACAACATTGAATAAAAAACAATAAATCGGAACAGAACAAAACAATGATACTGCGCATTGTTATCTTCAGATAGGGATAAAACAGTCAAATGGGGCCAGAGATTTAGCTCAGCAGCATAAATACCTACCTTGCAAGTGTGAGGTCATGACTGCAATCCCCAGCTGAGCGTGGTGGCTCACACCCATAATCCTAGCACTTAGGAGGCTGAGGTTGGAGGATTACTGTAAATTCAAGACCAGCCTGGGCTACAAAGTGAGCTTAAGACCAGCCTGAACTGCATAGAGAGACCCTGTCTCAAAAAAAAAAAAATAGTAAAATGAAACAAAACATTGGATTTCAAAAACAAGACAGGAGGAAATCCCACACAGTTGACACAGTGCACACTGCCATCCTCCAGGCCTGAAGAGTCAACCAAACAACATAAGCATTGAGCTGTTCACTTCCCCTCAGTTGTCATCTCACCCTGAGTCCTCAGAATCAGTGGGGTGGGGGGCACGCACCTCTGTTTTTTCTGCCTACGCACTGGCTGGCTTATGGGAAGGCTTGGTTTCTCTTCTGGTTGAGGCTCTTCCCTATCAGCATAGCGGGGCTTGCTTCACGGGAAAGCCTCATGCTGATTTCTAAATAACCCATAGGAAAAAGAAGAAATCATAGTTGATATTAAGTGTCTTTAATTTGGGTTTTATCTTCTCGACGGTTTTTCGCTATGTACTTTAGACAGACCTTGGACTTGAACTTACTATGTCGCTGGCTTCAGACCCCAGCAATCCTTGCACCTCAGCCTCCTAAGTACTAGGAAGGCAGGCGTGCACCACCGTGCCCAGTGAATTAGGTATTTACACTTGAGAGGGACTCAAAACACTGTACCACAATCCTAGCAGAATGCAGTAAATAAAGGACTGAGAGGCTAATCTGTAGCCTTAAAGCTTATGTTGGGGAAAAAAAGAAAGAGTGGAAATTAGTGAGCTGGGCACCTGTTACAAACAGAAACAGCCAGGTGTAGTGGCGCTTGGGAGGCTGAGGCAAGAGGATCTCTGTGAGTATGAGGCCAGCCTGTGCTATACAGCGAGTTTAAGGCTAACCTGGACTATACAATAAGACTTTCAAATAAAATAAAATCTAAAATAAAATAAAGTAAGACACTGACCTAAGCCAAATATGGCAGTAGGGAGGAGTTAAGTAAGGGCAGCCTGGCATGCGCAAGCCCTGGGCCTGGTCTCCACCACCACAAAAGTAAATCAGTAATGCAAGTAAAAGCAGAAAGAGTGATACAGAAAAAGATACTGGAAGCTGAGATAGGAGGATTGCCATGGGTTAAAGAATAGACAGTTCTGCCCAAACTCTCAGGAAGTGGGAAAGGAGACATGAGTCCCTGTTCATCCTGAGCCGCCAGGAGTCCCCTCCCCCGCCCGCCTCTTCTCTTGCCATAACGTGGTTACCTTCCTATCTGCGAGGTCAGAGCAATGATGGCAAAGCCCACAATGACAGTATGGGGCAGGAAAGTGCCCAACTTCCCCTGTGAGCCTGGACGCAAGGCTCTAAACAGCATTCCAAATCTAAGGCAACGTAAGAAACATGTAGGCTTTCAAAACCAAACTTGGCTTCCCTGGAGACTATGAAATCTATACATACCACTCCATTATGTTAACTGATCAAAGAAGAAAAAACATAGAAGTATTTCTTTCTTCTTTTTTTGTACTGGGGATCGAACTCACAACCTCAGGCTTGCCAGGCAAATGCTTATGCCGCTGAGCTAAATCCTCAGCTACACAGAATTATTTCAATTGATGCAGAAGAAATACTTGGTAAAATACTCAGCGAGGCGTGGTAGCACATGCCTGTCATCCCAGTGCTTGGGAGGCTGAAGCAGGGGGATTCCTGAGAATCTGAGGTCAATCTGGGCTACATGGTGAGTTCAATACCATCAAGATAACATATAAATATTTATAATATTAAAATTTCCTGGGCTGGGGATTTAGCTTAGTGGCTTAAGCACTTGCCTGGCAAGCACAAGGTTTTGAGTTTGATCCCTGGTACCAAAAAAAAATTTTTTTTTTAAACTTCCTTAGGTTTGAGCTGGGTGTGATGATGCACACCTATCATCCCAACACCCAGCAGGCTGAGGCAGGAGGATTGTTGAAAGGACAGTTGGGGATACATGGTAAGTACTTCAACACCCTGGCTAAAATATATCATCGAAAAACCCCCATAACAGGGACTGGGGATTTAGCTCAGCAGCATAAGCCCCTGCCTGGAAAGCGCAAGGCCGTGAGTTCAATCCTCAGTACCAAAAAACCAAAACAAAAACAAAAAACATAAACAAACAAACCAAGGTGGCAGGACTTGCCTCCTCAAGTATTAGGATTTATTATTGATGTTATGGTATTAAGTCAGCATTGTATTAAATTAGGTGTAGTGGTACACATTTTTAATCCTAGCACTCCAGAAGCTGAAGCAGGAGGATTACACAAATTTGAGGTCAGCCTGAGCTACACAGCAATACCCTGTCTCAAAACAACACAACAAAAAGCATCATATTAGCGGCTGGGGATGTAGCTCAGTAGCATAAGAGCCTGCCTAGCAAATACAAGGTCCTGAGTTCAGTTCCCAGCACCAAGAATAAAGCATCAGGTTGGGTAGACAAATTCACCTGTGGAGTGACATCTGGCCCACATCTCTGGGGACATTCATTGTTTGCCATAAGCAGGATTGCAAGCCAGTGGGACACGAGGTTCTTCCTGATAGAGGCCGCTGAGACCACCACAGCCTGGCAGGGAGGAGAGGCTTCCCCTCTGCCCACACCCCACTGAAACTTGTGAGAATACAACTTCCAGAAGGAGATGGGTGAGGGTACTCCCCATAACTGTAGGGATTATACCTTGTACGCAAAGAACTCCAAACCAACATGAGGCCCAGCCTCTCCAAGGACATGTGTGTGTGTGTGTGTGTGTGTGTGTGTGTGTGTGATGACCCAGCATTTCTCAGAGTCCCAGAGGCCTTCTTGTCCCTTGGCCAGCAGCTGCGGCATCACTCCAGCCCTGCCACCATGCTCCCATGGGGTTTTCTTCTCTCTTCTCTTCCTTCTCCTTAGGAAGACACCAGTCATTGGTTTAGGCCCCACCTAACCCAGTGTGGCTGCTGCCTCTTTTAACTCAATTGGATCTGCACAGATCCTATTCCCAGGTGAAGTCACAGCCAGAGGTTCCAGGTACATGTGACTTTGGGGGGAACCCTGTCCAGCTCCATGTATGCCCCCAAGATGTGGCAATTCTATGCCAAGTTATATACCTTTGAAATGCCATATGATAACCAAGCAAGGTAGTATATGCCTATAATCCCTGCACTCTGGGAGGCTGAGGCAGGAGGGTCAAGTTGAAGTCCAGCAGTGACTTAGCAAGATCATGTCTCACAATAAAAAATAGAAAAGGGTTTGAGGATATAGCTCAGCATGATGGCTCTGGCTTCAATCCCTGGTACTACAAGAAGAAAAGCCACACACACCAAACGATATACACATACTTGCTCATGGAAGCATTAGCCATGACAGCCCACACGGGGCTACCCAAGGACAGCTGTGGAACGGGTTGCAGGACAGGGTGCTTTAGTCACCGAAACGTGTGGCCATGTGTGATTCAAATTAATCTCCCCATGCTGAGCATCCAATCCAGACCCAAAACATTAATAATTCCATCTATTTGAAGTTCTTAAATAGACAAAAGGAAGTCATATTTACGCATGCATAATTAACTGGGAAAATGTTAGGACCAAAGGCTTTTCTCTGAGTATCAGGTTCATGGTCACTTTGGAAAGCGTGCAGGGGCTACCACTAAGGGGTTTGAGGCTCTGACATTTTAATTCTTGGTCTACTGATGCCAAAGACTCTGCTGGCTTTTGTTTTTTGTTTTGTTTTTGAAGCAGAGTCTCCTATGTAGTTCAGGCTGGCCTTGAACTCAAAGTGATCCTCCAGCCTCAGTCTCTTGAGTGCTGGGATTACAGGCCTGTGCCACACGCCTGGCTAGGCCTGTTTGCTTTGATATGTCATTGTGCTGCGCATTTTTGTTTTGTGCAATTTTTTTGTCTTTTGTGAGTTACATTTCACATTAGAAGGGTTTTGTTTTTGGTGTTTTTTTTTTTTTTTTGAGACTGGGTCTCTCTAGGGTTATCCAGGGTGGTCTCGAACTCAGGGTTCAAGTAGGGATTTCAAGTGAGTCTTGAATACCTAGGATTACAGGTGTTTGACATCAAACTCAGCTTGCAAAATTTGCATTGTTGTCATTTAGTACTGGGGATTTGAACCTCAGTACTATAGCCCAGAGCCCAGAGCATTCACACTGAGCTATATCCGAGTCCCTCTAAGATTTGAAGCCCAGATGCTGGAATATAACAATGTCAGGAAGAGAAGAAGGAGGGAAGTGGGTCCCTGGGCCCCAACAAGGATCTGAAGTGAGAATTGAAGCCCAGAGAGAAAGACCTCAATGCAGAAGAAGGAGGTGGCAAGTGAGGCTTTCTCCTTGAGCCCTGATGCTGTGTGGAAGAGGCAGCTTCAACCTGCAGGTGCACAGAGGCCTCCCCGGAGAGACGCACCAGTGGAACGGGAGAGTGGACACAGCAGACTGCAGTGGCTGGTGAGTTACTTGGGTTCAGAAGGCCCCCTCAAGAAGGTGATTGGCTGGTGGCCACCTTGGAGAGCTGGGCTGGGAACTCAGCAGCTGCGGGCTGGCTCCCAGTGTCATGGTGAGGCAGGGAGCTAAGTTCAAGCTGGCATGAGGCACGTGGCACCTTGCAGGCTGAACAAATGAGCTTCCACCCTCACAGCCACAAAGCAGCCTCGACTTCAGTGGGACTACTAAGGCACTGACTTGCAGGAATTATCCACTCCCCTGCCGGCTTGTGGGATTGATCAGCACAGATCTAGGCTCTGTCTGCTCACTACCAGTGACAGGGCAGAGTCACACCCCAGTGTGGCCTTTTTCTTTTTCTTTTTTACTTGTTTTTACTTCTTGCTTCTCTTACCCTCCAATCTTCTTCACCAGTTTCCCAAAGTTTGCATGATTTTCCTTTGTTTTCCAGCCTTGCTTCCAATCATTTCTTCTTCTTTTATTTTTCTATTTTTTCTCCTAAACCCTTTTAAATTTTTTCCCCTGAGGGTAAAATCAGCATACTGAGGGCATATTTACTGCATACAATTTTCTGGTTTTAGATCTTGTTATATAACTATAAATCTATTTCATATGGTTAAAGGTTGGCAAAGTAATAGTTACCACGTTTCTCACTTGATGCTCTTGTTATTGCTAATTGTACTACTTTAGCCAAGGTGACATATTTGTTGTGACCACTTGTTCCTTCTGGTGTGCCAAGACTGAAGAAGAACCAGAGGCTGGGCCACGTAGGCAGCCACTTCTCATTCCCAATAAATTGAAGAGATAGGATCTTGCACCAGACTCAAAACCCATACTGAGGCCAGGGATTTAGCTCAGGGGTATGAAAGTGCCTGCCTGGCAAGGACAAGGTTCTGAGTTCAATCCCTGGCACCAAAAACAAAAACAAACCATGCTGAGCCCTCTTTTTATTTCTGGAGATTGGGTCTCCCCTGGGGTTCAAACTTTTAATCCTCCTTTCTTTTCTTTTTTTTTTTTTGCAGTACCAGGGATTGACCTCATGACCTTGAGCTTGCCAGGCAGGCGCTTATGCCGCTGAGCTAAATCCCCAGCCCTGATCCTCCTTGCTTAGCCCACCAAAGTGCTGGGATTACAGATGTGTTACCACTTCACCTGGCAATTTGTTTGTTTGTTTGTTTACATTTTGAGACAGGGTCTCTCTGTGTAGTTCATGTTGGCCTTGCACTCACTGTGTAGTCCAGGTTGATTTCAAACTGGCAGCAATCCTCCTGCCTCAGCCTCCCAAATTCTGGGATTACAGGCATGCACCACCACACTCAGTTAGTACTTTTATTTTTGTATCTCATCTACAGGTAACAGATACATGTAACATACTTCATACACATGTATATGTGACATCTATTCAAGATGAATGTTGCATATATTTGGTGTGCACTCAAAAATACAGTAAGATAGGGGGCTGGGGATTTAGCTCAGCGGCATAAGCACCTTCCTTGCAAGCAGGCAGTCGTGAGTTCGATCCCCAGTACCGATAAAAAGGAAAAAGACCAAAAAAAAAAAAATACAGTAAGATAATTTAAGAAGCTTGTAATCACAGCTGCTCAGGAAGCTGAGGCGGGAGGATGGTGAGCTCTAAACTCAGCCCGTGTGACTTAGTGAGAGGGTCTCAAAATTAGTACCAATATCTGGGCATGGTGGTGCACACCTGTAATTCTAACACTTGGGAGGCTTAGGCAAGAGAACTGCCACAAGTTGGAGGCCAGCCCAGAGTACATAGTGAGCTCAAGGCCAGCCTGAACTATATATCGAGATTCTGTCTCAAAAAACAAAATAAATGAACAGAAAACTACTAACAGAGAGCGTAGGATCTGGGTGGTGCCTGCTGGGGGAGCTGTCCCTGTGGGAGGCCCAGGTTGGATCCCCAGCACTAGTTTCAGATAGGTGTCACTAACATTTTAGCGTGGCACCTCATGGCACACCTCTCTGAAACCTACCCTCTTTCCTTTGTATTTTTGGTACATTCAAAGGAAGTTGCAGATATCAATTCACTTCCTCCTAACTTAATCAGTATACAAACCCTTAAGGAGAGCTCAAGAAGGGGTCTTATCATCTTATTTACAACCATCTCCAGGCTGAGAAATAAAACGTGGCATACACGGGGCTGGGGATTTAGCTCAGTGGCATAAGCGCCTGCCTTGCAAGCAGGCAGTCGTGAGTTCGATCCCCGGTACCGATAGAAAGGAAAAAGACAAAAATCAAATAAAGTAAAATAAAACGTGGCACACTCTTTTTTTTGGTTTTGTTTTTCTTGGTACTGGGGATCCAATTTATGACCTTGCACTTGCCAGGCAGGGGCTTACACGACTGAGCTAAATCTCTAGCCCTGAGATACTCCTTTTTTGAAACAGCAACTGCCAGGCTCTTCCCTGTGAGGCAAGTCTTAGAAAAGAACAAACCTGGACTGTGTCCCCTAATTCACGCTGGCATTGCACCTTAGGGACAGCCTCTGGTCTGCCTGCCTGCCTCAATGGGGGTCGACACTGACAGTTGTCCCTGGACTATCTTCCAGAAGGTTCATTCCAGAACCCCTCCTGCCTGAGCCTGGTCAGTGCCACATCCCTCCCGAGACTACCCTAGACCCTCTCCTCTCCTTTTTTTTTTTTTTTTTGTCTTTTTCATTTTTGTCGGTACAGGGATCGAACTCAAGACCGCCTGTTTGTAAGGCAGGTGCTTAGGCCGCTGTGCTAAATTCCCAGGCCTTTCCTCTCCTCCTTTTTAAGGGGCTGCAGTGGTGATGCTACTTTTGCAGTCTTGAGCAAAAAGAGTAAAACAGGAAGACGAGTGTTTGGGTGTAGGCTGTGTGTAGTCGCCCCGCCCAGCTGAAGCGGAGCCCAGCGGGAGCCAGTAGAGCTCGGCCCCGCCCCCGCCCCCCCCCCCGCTCGGAGCGTGCGTGCCTGCGACCCGTACAGCCAACCAATGAAGAGGAATGGCTATGAGTGTCATGTACCTGGTCCAATCATGGGTGAGTCTCAGGAGCCGGCTTGCATCCAGGCCAATGGCGAGGTGGGGGGCGGGGCTCCAGCGGGGCGACAGGTCATCTGATCTTCCAGGCCCGGCGTCTGAGACTGTGGAGACTGAGGCAGTGATGGCGGCGACTGTGGCGCTTCGGATTCGGACCGGGACGCAGCGGACCCTAGTTCCTTGGCGCATGCCATGGCCACTCCTGCTGCTGGCGGCAGTGGCGGTGGCAGCCGCGGCCTCAGAGCAGCAAGTGCCGCTGGTGCTGTGGTCGAGTGACCGGTGAGTGCGCCGGGCGGGGCTGGGGGGGGGCGCGCTGCCCGCGGAGGCTGGGAGCCTCGCCGGTCCGGGGCTGCTCTCGGCGGGTGCTGCGAGGCCCAGAGGGCTGCGTCCCTCGCTCAGCGGGCTCGCCTCAAGTCAGCTTGTGACAGAGCTCGGCCGCGCTGGGGAGACAGGAGCCCAGCGGGCTCGGCTCTCAAATCATCGCCCAGGCATGAGAGCACCTCTCCTGTCCCCTGCCAGGGACCTGTGGGCTCCTGCGGTCGACACGCACGAGGGCCACATCACCAGCGACCTGCAGCTTTCGTCCTACTTAGACCCCGCCCTGGAGCTGGGCCCCCGGAACGTGCTGCTCTTCCTTCAGGACAAGGTGCGCTGCCCCAGTCTGCTCCGTGGGGTCATCGGGAGGCAGGCAGCCCCTTGTCCACGCCCGTTCTCTAGGGAAAGACCAAGTGACCTCATTCCAGCTGTGGGACAGTGTGACAGTCCTCTTGGGAAGGCCTGTAAGAATGAGAAGCTTCAGTGGTATGCTGAGAGCTAACTTAATTAGTCGAAGCAAGCTGGCAGAGGCCAGATACCTCTAAAATACCAAGTGGTTTTGATAGTTTCTTTTTTTATCGATACCTGGGATCGAACTCACGACCACGCGCTTGCAAGGCAGGCACTTATGCCGCTGAGCTAAATCCCCAGTCCCCTGGTTTTTTTTTTTTTTTTTTTTTTTTTTTTTTTTTTTGAGACAGGTTGTCACTGTGTAGCATTAGTGAGCATCACTCTGGAGGTGATCCTCTTGCCTCGGCCTCCCAAGTGCTGAGAGGCAAATGTGCTATTGCACCTGTCTGATACATTATGACTTTTTTTTTGTCTTTTTCCTTTTTATCTGTACCGGGGATCGAACTCACGACTGCCTGCTTGCAAGGCAGGCGCTTATGCCGCTGAGCTAAATCCCCAGCCCCACGTTATGATTTCTAGTATCACTGGTGGAGACAGTGTCCAGTTTGCAGATGAGATGCTGGGGAAGAGAAGCTGTTGCCCAAGGTCACACACTGGACTTCTTAGTGTAGTAGAGAGTAACCTGGAAATGATCCCTTACTTATTGCTTCCTATGCAGCTGCTCATTTGATGCCATTAGCCAGGCCATATAGCCAAGGAAGATAAGGCTTGTAGGCTGGAATGATTTGCTGGAGTCCCATGATTTAGAGATTGCACATGGGATTCCACATGAATCCATCAGGCCTGTCTCTGGTCTACCTTAGTAACCATCACACTGTGTTCCTTCCTCTCCAGGCTGCTGTCCCCAAGGCAGGTGTATAGACGTTGGTGTTTGGGGCTGGTGGTTGAGAGGCTGTTAAGCCTCTGCTTGTCCACTCCTCATTAATGGTTTGCCCAGCACAGTCCCTGTTGTTGTGCTGGCAGGTGGCAGGGGTCATGCTGGCATCTAGTCCCTCCAGGAGGTGGTAAGATATGTAATTAGAGCTGGGCGTGTTGGCACATGTCTGTCATCCCAACCTGCCTCCAGAGGCTGAGGCAGGGGGACTGCTGAGAGTCAAAGACCAGCCTGGGCTACACAGCAAGATCATGTCTCAAAAAAACCAAAAACAACAAAATGTAATGAGACTGGAACTCAGTCATAGTTCTACCTTTTGTCAGTCTTTGGGTCCATGAAATGATCTTGTAAATGATCCTATTTGGGGGGTTGGGAGGCACAGATACTAATCCACATAAAACATCTATTTGGGGTCTGCCACTGTTTGTGCATTCTTTCCGTCATTCATTCCTTGGCCAAAGGTGGCACAGTGAATCTGTAACAGGGATTGAGTGTTGGGGATGCCTCGATAGCAGAGTGACCTGTGCCTCTGCCCTCGGGAAGCTGACACTCTTGTGAGCACTATCAGTAAATGCTGTGATGGTAGGGGCCACAGTGTCACTGTAGTGGCTGAGGACATGGTGTTTGAGGAGGGGGATCAGGGAAGGCATCACTAAAGAGGGAGGGAGGGAGCCATCATCGACTTGGGAGACAGGCATGGGCAGCAGGAAGTGGTCCTGCAAGGGCCTGTTTGGCCGCAGAAACAGGAAGTGAGGAGGGTTCCAAATGGGCAGTATTGGAACAGGGACTCGAGTAAAGATTGCCCAGCTGGCACACCTGGGAGGCTGAGGCAGGAGGATCATTGCAAATTCAAAGCCAGCCTGTACTACAGAGTGAGACCCTGTCTCAAAAGAAGAAAAAAGCCAGTAAGTGAGCCACCCCTCTGGGCATAACACAGGCATCCACATAGGGTCAGAGTTCCTGGTGAGCATGTGGGGAAGCAGGACAAGTGTGTATACTAAACAGTGAGATTCAGGCAGCAGGTTGAGGTATCTGACCCAAGTGGTTGAAACCAGAGGAGACTGGAGTGGTGGCAGGAGTTAAAGGACACCTAGAGGTCGTGGAAGTGGGGGTAGTGCGTGCTGTGGTTACTGTGGGCCGCAGAGCTTGGCTGACCAGCCCACATATACCACTGTGCTCCCAAAAGTCTTTGCCTGTGTCACCACATGTGGTGGGTTCAGGACTTGTCACTTGCTGGCAAGGATCCCGTCCGCCCGGGACATTGCTTGGCCCTTGCACCAACCTTGCTTCCCAGTTGGAGGTGGCCTGTGCTCGCTTCTGCCCTGCCCCCTCCTCACTTCCCTCCTGTTCCTCTTTCCAGCTGACTCTTGCTCTTGAGGCTGCCTTGGTCCAGCCCCGTGACTGTCTTCCTGTATTGTCACCCTGGCCTGAGAGTGCAGGGGACAAGGTTGAAGCTCCCACCTGGCTCTTGTGGCCTACCCTCCTCTTGCACCAGGGCTGGCTGGAACAGAGGTTGTGGGGCCAGAGGCAGCACTGGCCCTGCACTGGCCCTTGTCCTGGCCTGGCTGCCTGAGCTGCTTCTCTGTCTCTCTAGCTGAGCATCGAGGACTTCACAGCATATGGTGGTGTGTTTGGAAATAAGCAGGACAGCGCCTTTTCTAACCTGGAGGTGAGCATCCCCTTCATCCCAGGACCTGGGTGGCATTTTGTGCTCCCTCTCTCAGCACAGTAAGTACAGTGCCCTTTGGGCCAGGCACAGGTGCTCCAGCCTGAGTGACTTAGTAAGCCTCTGTCTTAGAAAAGGCTAGAGGGTGCTGTGAATGTGGCTCAGTATAGAGTAGAGGTTCTGGGTTCAATCTCCTGCATTGCATATACGTACACACGGGACTGCCCGCCACCCCATACAGGCTTTGCGGATTGAAAGGCCTGGGGTCCCAGTGTCAAGAGCCCCAGGGGAGTCTCTTTTCTGACTACAGTGGGGACTATGTGGCCTCCAGCTCAGTCCTTTATCCTCCCTCTGCCCCCAGAATGCCCTGGACCTGGCTCCCTCCTCGCTTGTGCTGCCTGCAGTCGACTGGTACGCGGTCAGCACCCTGACGACCTACCTGCAGGAGAAGCTGGGTGCCAGCCCGCTGCACGTGGACTTGGCCACCCTGCGGGAGCTGAAGCTCAATGCCAGCCTCCCCGCCCTACTGCTCATCCGCTTGCCCTACACAGCCAGGTGAGCTGGTGGCGGAGGTAACAGGGCTTCAGGTCAGGGCACAGGGCTCTAGGTGGAGATTCTGAGGTAAGTGGACAAGCAGGGGTCTCTCAGGAACCCCAGGGCAGGCCGTGGGCCAAGGGAGGGCAGCGAGCCCTGTGCGGCTCTCATGCTGTGTCTTATCCGCAGCTCTGGTCTGATGGCGCCCAGGGAGGTCCTCACAGGCAATGGTGAGTGGGCCCAGGGAGAACACTGGTCTGTACCCCCCTCAGGCCCTCCTCTGTCTGCAGGTGCCCAGGACTTGGGACTTAACAGACCAGAAACACTTGGGCAGAACAGTTAGGCGAAGAAAACCCAGCAGAGTGGCACACTCCTGTCATCCCAGCACTTGGGCGGCTGAGGCAGGAGAATCATGAGATTGAGGCCAGCCTTGATGACCTAGCAAGACTGTCTCAAAATAAACAAAAAAGAAAAGAAAAAAGCCCAAAAAGAACAATTAGGAGGATTTGTCCCCGCTATGAGTGACAGTCATTCCCGCCACCCTTAGGTTGGGCCCCTTGCCAGGGAGCTAGGGGCTGAGGCTACAGCTATTCCAGGGAGGGAGGCTAAAGTAGGGGACAAAGTGGCTGTCCCTAGGCCCCAGAGGCAGGGGTGGGGGAGTTGCTTTAAGCTGCCACGTGGTAACTGGGTGCCCTGCTCTCACCACTCCTCAGATGAGGTGATTGGGCAGGTGCTGAGCACCCTCAAGTCCGAAGACATCTCCTACACAGCAGCATTCACGGCAGTCCGCCCCTCCCGGGTATGTGTCCTTGGGGTGCTACATGTCCCATGGCTCTGGGAAGCGGCGTGTGGAGGCCCTACTGGGGTCCATGGGGACAGCATGCTGGGAAGGGCCCCAGGTGGCCAGTGGGGAGGGTGAGCTCTGGGTTGGGGTGTGCTCCCCTATTGATAGAGGTGTCCTGGCTCTTCACCCAGGTGACTCGAGATGTAGCCATGGTTGCTGGGGGGCTAGGTCGCCAGCTGCTCCAGAAACAGGCAGTGTCACCTGTGATCCATCCGCCTGTGAGTTATAATGACACTGCCCCGAGGATCCTGTTCTGGGCCCAGAACTTCTCCGTGGAGTTCGAAGGCCGACGGGAAGACCTAACCCGCCGCACCTTTGGGTCACCGGAGCTCAACCTCACTGGATCCTTCTGGAACAGCTCCCTGGCTGGGTGAGGGGGACGGCGGGGGCCTCCTACCCCTGTGGGGGACAGGGTGTGCTTGCTGCGACTGGGTCAGCAGGGGACTGTTGGAGGTGGGGGACTGGTTCCCATTCAGGGTCTCCTCGGCCCTCACCCGAAAGCCTTCCCTGGCAGCTCGGAATGACCCCCCTGGGGGGTCGCTTAGGGGTGCACTTCCCCACCGTCCAGTGGGGACCCTGCCTGGTCAGGGGCTGCGGGGACCTGGGGCAGTTTGTTGGGGCAGGTTTGGGTGCTTGCTCCTCTGAGCCACTCTGGACCCCTGACGCGCTCTTGCGCCTCGTCCGTCCCAGACTCTCTCTGACCTACAGCGGGCTCCTCGGCTCCACGGTGACGTTCCGGTGAGTCTGGGGCCGGGCTGCGGGCGGGCTGCGGGCCGAAGGGTGGCTCGGGGCTCAGCGGCTCCTGCTGACCCCGCCCGCCGCCCCGCTGCCCTGCCGCTGCTGCCCAGGTTCATCCTGGCCAACCGCTTCTACCCGGTGTCCGCCCGTGACTGGTTCACCATGGAGCGCCTGGAGATCCACAGCAACGGCTCGGTCACCACCTTCAACGCCTCCCAGGTCACCGGGCCCAGCATCTACTCCTTCCGCTGCGAGTACGTGAGCAGCAGAAGCAAGGCGGGCGGCCTCCTGGTGCCCACCGTGCAGCCCTCGCCGTGGCACGTCACCCTGCAGGACTTCCAGGTGCGGCCGCTGCGGGGTGGGCGGGCGGGCGGGCGGCGCTCCTGTGGCCGCCCCTCGGCCCCTGCTGACGCACCCCAACCCCACAGATCCAGGCCTTCAACGTGACGGGCGGGCAGTTCTCCTACGCCAGCGACTGTGCGGGCTTCTTCTCCCCCGGCATCTGGATGGGGCTGCTCACGTCACTCTTCATGCTCTTCATCTTCACCTACGGGCTGCACATGATCCTCAGCCTCAAGACCATGGATCGCTTCGATGACCACAAGGGGCCCACCATCGCTATGACCCAGATGGTGTGACCGCAGGTGGCAGGGGACTGAGGGGTGGGCGAATGGAGGCTCCCCTTTTCCCACCCCCCCCCTCCGCCCGGCCCAACACGGTGTACATATTCCTGCGAGCGGTGGACCAATCCCCGGGCTGCCCGCTGCGGTTCTCGGGTCCCCTGCCACCTGTTATTTATTCTCGCCCCTTGCTGTTCATAGTGCTTTCCTGTGCAGATGGCCCACCCCAGGCAGCCCCGAGCTTGGGGCCCCTCGAGGGCGTGGGGGTGGAAGGCCTGCTTCCCCTTCCGCCTCAGCAGCTCCCCGGCCCCCGGCCCGGTCCTGTGCTGGCCATGCGCGGGCGCGGTCCTGTCTGTGCTCTCAGAGGGAAGGGACTGACTTCCCTGGCAGTTGTGCTGGGTGTGAGCAATGGTTTCGGGCATGTTATTATCAGGGGTGCCTGGTAGGAGGCTGGGACGTTCTGTTGTTTCCTTCCAAATAAAATAAACAAGGGTCCTCATGTGTTGGGCCTCTCGTCGCTCATTTCTGTCCAGGGCACTGGGTATGCGCGTGCATTTGGCTGCAGGATGCCTGGCTTGGCGATGCGATGCCGGAGGAGGCGCCCGGATGTAGCTGAGCCAGGCCAAGGCCAGACACTCAAGGGCTCACTGTGAGCCCGGCAAGGCTGGGGCCTTGAGCGCGCTGCGCCCCTAACCAGTGAGGGTACTGAAGGCTGTCGAGGCTGCATCCTGTGCGCCTCGGCAGCGCTCGCTGCGACAATGGCAGTTCTCGCGTCGCGGGGTGGGGACGTCCACCCTGGCTGCTGCAGCGGTGCGCGCACCCCTTGCCCGCGCGGGATCGCGCTCGGAGGCTCCCGAGGGGCGGGGCGGGGCGGGGGCGCGCCGGGCGGGCGGGGTGCGGTGCGCGAGGCTCCCGCGCAAGGATCCCTCGAGCGTCGCAGCACCGGATGCCGACCCGCCCCACCACGCCTCTCCCGGGGCCCTGGTCTGGCGGCCGTTGTCCGAGGCCCGAGGCGTCACGCTCGCTCGGGGGCGCGGACATCCTTGGCGCTTCAGGAAGGCGAGCTACGGAGGCTGTGGCCCCGGCCAGGCCCGGCGGGGCACGGGGCGGGGCGGGACTCTTTGACGTGGCGGAGGGGTCGCGCATAGGTCGCAGAGCCGCCATCTTTGGTCCAGTGCGGCGGCGGCGGCGGCGGCGGCAGCAGCAGCTGCTGCTGTGGTGAAGGAGGAGGAGCAGCCGAGCGGTGCTGGCACCAAAGCCTGACCATGGACGAGGAATACGATGTGATCGTGCTGGGGACCGGTCTCACAGTAAGTGCGGCCTCGGTGCCCATGGTCCTGCATCCTGCACCTTGTGATCGCAGCAATGATGCATCCCTGGCCGCCGGGCCATCCTCCCGTTATCGCCATCCTCCGCTCGGGTCCCTGAAAAGCCAGCGCCGTGCCCACCCCGTCCCTCGACCCTGTGGCTTGTCTGCTGTCCTCCACCGCCGTGCCCGTCTCCTTGGAAGGGATCTCCTTCCCCCGGCCCAAGTCCTGACCCTGGCCCCGGGCCCCTCCAGTCCTCCCTGCCTCGGCCTGCTGTACTGGTAAACGCACCCCAACTCAATCTGGTGCCTCCTGCTCCCCGCCTACCCGGCCCCCACCCATCCATTGCCTGCTCGCATCACCTGCCCAGCATCTCCTCCCATCTTGCAGGAAGCTCAGTAGCGATGGAGTTGGAGGCCTTGGGGTCTGGGGGCTTTGCCAAGCTGGGCCCGCAAACTGCCTCCCTGGCTTCTGGGGACCCAGGGAATGTTCCAGAAGCAGCAGCAGTGGGGGCAATGACCACATTCCCGCTACCCCACCCCGGTTTCCCATGGAGACCTGAGGCTGAGTACTGTCAGCAGCCTTTGTCCTTGGGCTGGTAACAGGGACTGGGGAGGGTGTTTTCTTTCCCCTTTCTCAAAGCCCGTCGCCCATTCTTCCTAAGGCTCACCTCCCTCCGCCCAAGCCAGACACCTACAGCCCAGACACCCCTCCTTCAAGGGGATGTGGCTCCTTGGAAGAAAGAACAGCCCAGGGGAGGCCTGCAATTTCAAGTGTTGTGTTCATTTGCATGTCCCTGTTGGACACCCTTTAAGGTTGAGCTGGATTGTTGGTGGCTCATTGTGTCTCATCTGCATTCTCAAGCCCTGTGGGTGTGCACAGGTGACTTTCTTGGCATGTTGATGCCCTAAGTCTGTTGGCCACCGGCCCCCTAAAGCCTCTGATACTTCTCTCCTGGGTCATCTGTTTGCTGACCAAGGTTAGACTGGAGCCTGGCCAAATGAAGCCATTGTCCCCAATTGCAGCAGCCAGGGAATGGAAGGAGCTGTCCATTGTGGCAGCTGCTGGTGGAGAGCAGATCAGGGCCACCAGAGAACTCTGGCAGGGGAAGCTAACCACCCACGGTACCCCTCCCCCAGGAATGCATCCTGTCAGGGATCATGTCTGTGAACGGGAAAAAGGTGCTGCACATGGACCGGAACCCCTACTACGGGGGTGAGAGCTCGTCCATCACGCCCCTGGAGGAGGTGAGGCTGCCCTGACCCCCACACAGGGCCATGCCTAGGTTTTCTGGGTAGGGCAGAACGGGAATCCATGCGGTTTCTCTCTTTGTCTTTCCTGACTGCAGCTGTATAAGCGCTTTCAGTTGCCAGAGGGCCCCCCTGAATCAATGGGCCGGGGCCGAGACTGGAACGTTGACCTGATCCCCAAATTCCTCATGGCCAATGGTGAGGGAGATGAAGGAGCTATCGTGGAGGGCGGGGGACACAGGGCAGGGCCCCTGTTGACGATGCCATCCCTACAGGGCAGCTGGTAAAGATGTTGCTGTACACAGAAGTGACCCGCTACCTGGACTTCAAGGTGGTGGAAGGTAGCTTTGTCTATAAGGGTGGCAAGATCTACAAGGTGCCCTCGACGGAGACCGAGGCCTTGGCTTCCAGTGAGTGTGGAGGCGGGGGAGGCAGCTGTCCACGGCAGGGCCCCCCCTCATGCTTTTGTTCTTGAGGTGTCACCAGAGGCCTGCTACTCTGTGCTCTCTGCTGTCCGCTACTGTTCCTTACCGTCTCTTACTGTAGGTTGCCAGCACAGAAGCATTCATGTAGCAAGGCCACGGAGGGGACCTGGAGTGTCACAGATTTCAGCCTTTGGCAAGGGCTCCACTTAACATGGAAACGTGTCCAGGCAGTGGGGTCAGGAGGGCCCTGTCCTGCCCTCGGCCCTTATCATACAGGGGAGGACACCAGGTCCTGGGCCAGCTGAGCTGTTGTAGCAGGCAGGGGCCTCATGTACTCGCACATGCACAGCGTCTCCTCACCCTCCCCAGATCTAATGGGCATGTTTGAGAAACGCCGCTTCCGCAAGTTCCTGGTGTTCGTGGCAAACTTTGATGAGAACGATCCCAAGACCTTCGAGGGTGTGGACCCCCAGACTACCAGCATGCGCGACGTCTACCGGAAGTTTGACCTGGGCCAGGATGTCATCGACTTCACTGGCCATGCCTTGGCTCTCTACCGCACTGATGAGTGAGGGGAAGCTGGTGTGATTGGCGCCCCCTTGCCTGCCTGTTCCTGTCCTCCCTCTACCTGCTTGCTGCTCCCTCTGCCCATCCGCATGTCCCTGGTACCCAGATTCACCTGTCACCTGTATGTCCCTCCCTGTGTCCTCCACTTGACCTATCTTAGCAGACCAGGCACCTGGGGAGGGGTGAGCAGAGTGCTTCTGTTGAGTCTTCCCTCTCTGCTCTCCCCAGCTACCTAGAACAGCCCTGTCTCGAGACCATCAACCGCATCAAGTTGTACAGTGAGTCCCTGGCCCGGTATGGCAAGAGCCCGTATCTGTACCCACTCTATGGCCTCGGCGAGCTGCCCCAGGGCTTTGCCAGGTGAGGACGCAGCTCTCTTCAGGTGGCATCGCTGGGTGGAACTGAGGCTGAGGGTGGAAGTGGCTCCTGGAGCCTTTCTGGGCATTGCAGGCTGAATTGGGGGACAGGGACCCAGCCCTAGTACACTGAAGCACTGGCTAAGGAACGTGGCCTGCTCATCTCCTGGTGGCATGGGGCTGGGCCAAGGCCAGGAACCTTAAGCAGGGCTTAGCTGGGAGTTAGCTCTTCTCTACCGTGTCTTCAGTGCTGGTCTCCTGGGCCATTGTCATCTGGAGCTGCCCCCTCATTACGGCTTGTGTCAGCCCTTCGTAGTCTCTTCTGAGGGGGATCTAGGGAGGAGAGAGAGTACTCAGATGGTTCCAGCTTGGTACTGTGACAGCTGGGATGAACAGCAGCTCTGCTGACTTTGCCCGCCTGGACCTTGGTGGGGCAGTAGGGAGGGTGCAGTGGAATTGGCTCCTGTTCATTTTCTGGGAAGTGGACGACTGTCCCTGTCCCCGCTGCAGACTGAGTGCCATCTATGGAGGAACATACATGCTGAACAAGCCTGTGGATGACATCATCATGGAGAATGGCAAGGTGGTGGGCGTGAAGTCCGAGGGAGAGGTAAGCCCCAGGAGCAGGTCACCTCCCTAGGGGCTCTGTGTTGTCAGGAGCCATGCCGTATAACTGTGGTCCAGAAAATCTACCTGATCACAGTGTCTCAGCAATGAGGCCACCCAGCCTTGTGTGCCAGGCTCGTCACCCTGAGCTGAGGGCAGGGTGACAGTGATAGAGGAGGACCCTGCTGCCATGAGCTGCCTGCCATCCCTGGGGGCTCAGTGAGTGACCATTGACGTAAGGGGTGACCCAGCAGGAGCAAGGCCTCGTGGTGCCTTCACAGGTGGCCCGCTGCAAGCAGCTGATCTGTGACCCCAGCTACATCCCGGACCGTGTGCGAAAGGCTGGCCAGGTCATCCGTATCATCTGTATTCTCAGTCACCCCATCAAGAACACCAATGATGCCAACTCCTGCCAAATCATCATCCCTCAGAACCAGGTCAACCGGAAGTCAGGTAGGGAGCCCGCAGCCTACTGCCACTGTGCCCTGTCCCCGGGCTGCTGTGTCTATCCTCCCCAGCCTTGGTCCCAGCAACTGACACCTGACTCAGATTCCCCTGCCATGATGATGACAGCTTGGATGCCCTGTCAGTCACCTTGCTGTGGCTGAGACCCAACCCCTGATACCCACAACACAAGGAGGACCATTTTCATTTGGGTCCCTGCAGCTTTAAGATGGGAAGAGCAAAGGGCCAGAGAAGGGAAGGGCACGAGGCAGAGGGGGAGAGAAAGGTGCTGGGGCGCAGCCCTTGGGCACAGCCTCCAAAGCCCCAGGTTCCAGGCCCCGCCTCCTTGGGAGCCCATGGGCTATGCACTCACCCACAGGGCCAATCCGAGTGCCTATCCTCCGGCCTCGATGTTGCTGGGTGGGGATGCCTGATCCTCTATCTGGTCCCTGGGGGCCGCTGCACAGTGAAGCCATGGGACATTTGCAGCGGGGGAAGGAGGTCCCCCTGGCCTATGGCAATAGGGCACTTTCCATGAGCAGACATCTACGTGTGCATGATCTCCTATGCACATAATGTGGCCGCGCAAGGCAAGTACGTCGCCATCGCCAGCACCACAGTGGAGACCGAGGATCCCGAGAAGGAGGTCGGACCGGCCCTGGAGCTGCTGGAGCCCATTGACCAGAAGTGAGGGGCTGGGCTGCACCCAGGGTGGGGCAGGAGCTGGGGGTTGCCTCTGCAGGGTCTGACACAAGTGCTCTCTACCTACCCCCAGATTCGTAGCGATCAGCGACTTGTATGAACCCATTGATGACGGCTCTGAGAGCCAGGTAAGCAGCTTCCGGCCCTGGCCCGGCCAGCTGTCCCCCAGACCCTTCTCCAGTCACTGTGGCCCTGGGCCTGCTCTTTTCAGGTGTTCTGCTCCTGTTCCTATGATGCCACCACACACTTTGAGACCACCTGCAATGACATCAAAGACATCTACAAACGCATGGCTGGCTCGGCCTTTGACTTTGAGAACATGAAGCGCAAACAGAACGATGTCTTTGGAGAAGCGGACCAGTGATCGCTGGCTCCTGCCCCAGCTCCTGCTGCCCCTACTCCAGTGTCTGTTCCCCTTCAGGGCTGGGGAGATGTGTGGCTGGGCACCCCTGCTCCCGGCATCCTCTGCTTGCCCCACATTCCTGTCACCCCCTCACTGATTCACTGACCAAATCCTTAACCTTAGCGATGGTTTGGGAGATGGGGGTTACATAACGTCCTCATTCTCAGCCCTTCCTTGTTCTAGGAAAAGAGGATTCCTCTTCCTGTGTGTCTCCCCGACCTGTAACTCTTCTGCTGTGTTTGGGAAGGACGCGGAGGAGAGCTGACTTCTGCCCCCGCCGCTCTTACCCTGCTGTAGTGGCCTTTGGAGATGCCCCCTGCCTCCCCCCACCAGCTCTCCTGTGTGTTGGAGAGAAGGGGCCCTCCCAGCACAAACTGCATTCCTCCCCCATAATTTATTCTAATTTATTAACCAACTCCCACCCCAAGTCAGAGCCCCCAACCTGGAGAGGAGGGGAAAAGGCGTTGGTGTGGCCCTGTTGGAGGTTGAGCTCACTGTTTTCATTCCTTGTCCTTGTGTTTGTGTTCTCTGGTCCTTGCTGAGAAGAGAGGTGCGTCAAGCGAGAGGAGGTGGGCAAATGCAAATGCGCCCAAGCGCAGTGCGCCCCACCCCATGCCATCCCTGCAAAGTGAATGTGTCCCTTTCCCCCATCTCTAGTATATTTCACAGAAAACAAAACCTCCCAATAAACCGTGTTGAAACCTGAGCCTGGGTGTTTAGATTCCTCTCCATAAAGTGAGGTGCCCCACAGGGACTTGGCCTTCTGCTTTGGGGCTTTGGCTTAGTGCCTGGCACCACACCTGTATCCTTTAGGGTCCCATGTAGGGAGGTGGGGACACGGGGCTGGCCTCAGTGAGGGGACGGAGGCAGAAGTCACCGAGGGCCAGCGTGGGAGTCTGGGGAGTTGGGTCTGGCCTGCATAGCCGGTCAGATGTCCTTGGAGGAACTGGACCCGCCTCCTCCGAAGGAAACCAGGAGCTTGCTTGAAGCTGATCAACAAGCCCCAGTGGGGAGGACCCTGCCTTGGGGCCTCAGGACGCAATAGGGGGCGCTGCAGGCCAGCGCCCGAAGCCAGGGAGCCAGTCTCCGTGGCCACGACGAGGAAGCTTGGGAGGCCATGCTAGATTCGCCCGGCCCTGGCGCCGGCGGGGGCGGAGCCGGCGGGGGCGGGGCCGGGGACGTCACACTCAGGGGCGGGGCGGTCGCCGTCACGTGGAGGGAAGGGGCGGGAAGGGAAGGTGCGGGAGGACGTTGGGTGTCAGCTGACTGTGCGCCCGCCACCGAGACTCGGTCCCACTGCTGTCACTGTTGCCGCCGCCGCCACTGCCGCCGCCACCGCTATGGCTCAGTACAAGGGCGCCGCGAGCGAGGCGGGCCGCGCCATGCACCTGATGAAGAAACGGGAGAAGCAGCGCGAGCAGATGGAGCAAATGAAGCAGCGGATCGCGGAGGTCGGGCCGAGCAGCCTCGAGCATGCGCGCCGCGCGGTCTCGGCGGTGTCCCCGGGCTTCGGGCTGGGAGTCCCCAGAGCAGAAGCCGGCACCCTGGCGCTCTGGCGATGGTCTCATCTGTGAAATGGGCCCACGGGAGGGCCGGGTCCGAGGCAGTTAGCGTGTGCCAGGCCCTTGCGAGATGGAGTGATCGACGTTCCCTGGTGCTACTGGCGCCTCTGTCCAGCGCTCGGTGCTTGGGGCGGGCGCAGGGAGTGCTTCCCTGGACCTCGCGGAGCCGGTGGTTCCCTCGGGGCTCCCGTGGATGGCCGGCGATGTCGCAAGGCTGGAAGATCCCAGGACTCACAGGGACTCAGGCTCTTAGCTAAGTGGGAAAACCTCCAAGCAGGCAGCCTTGAGGCACAAGTGCGCCCTCAGCCCCAGCCCATCTCAGTGGGGATTTCCTACAAGTTGAAGGTGGATTTCTTTTTTTTATTAATTTTTGGTGTTTTCAGACAGGGTCTCACTATATAGTTCAGGCTGGACTTGAACTCACTTTGTGGTTCAGGTTGGGTTCCAATTCATGGTGATCCTCCTGCCTCAGCCTCGGGGAGCTGGGATGACAGCTGTGCACCACCATGCCAGACTGGAGGATGCATTTCTTTGCTGGCCACTTTTGAAGGCCTTGGCTAGAAGGGTACCTGTATGGTACTGTAGATGGAGGGGGACTGGAGGGGGACACCTTTGAGTGGGTTCAGGCAGTATCTGGGCTTGAGAGGCAGGCCCGAGGTTCAGGGAGATGCTGGGCCCTTCACACCCCCCCCCTGTTCCATTTTGTCCTCTCCTGACACCCCTGGCTTGGGTCTCAGGAGGGGCAGCTTAGAGGCCAGCAGTCCGAGGTTAGCACTGAAGAGCCTTCCATGACCAAGGACAGGGGCCATAGCTTCTTCCAAGATCACACTGAAGCATGTCCTAGGGCACACCTATGATGGGAACCCAACAGGAACAGGCAGCTGTGGCTTCCAGGAGGGTGGCAGTATCCCTCACAGCCAGGCTTTCTCTTGCAGGAGAATATCATGAAATCCAACATTGATAAGAAGTTCTCAGCACACTATGATGCCGTGGAAGCAGAGCTCAAGTCCAGCACTGTGGGTGAGCAGAACACATGGACCACCCTGTCCTGGGCACAAGACTGCCCCTTCACTGGCTCTGACACAGTGCTTCCTCGCAGGCCTCGTGACACTGAATGACATGAAGGCCAAACAGGAGGCGCTGGTGAAGGAGCGAGAGAAGCAGTTGGCTAAGAAGGAGCAGTCGAAGGAGCTGCAGCTGTAGGTCTTCTCCCACTCCCTCCTGTCCCCTCCTGTTCCCTTTTCTGGTGCCCCTCACATACAGCTCATATTTGTGGGCTCCAGAGGTGACTCAGGCTACTCCTGTTCTGGTGGGAGTTCCATTTCCTGCTTGGGAATGAGGGTGGCTTCTCATTTGGGCCTCAAAGTGGCCCTGTCAGCTTTCTGGTTTGTCTTTTCTCTTCCTGGCCCTCGTGAAGGTGGCTCATGCTCCCAAGCCCTCTCCTTTCTTTGGGTGCCCACATGGTCTGCATGCTCTGTCCTCTTCATGTCACTACCCCATGTTTCTGTCTGTCTCCTGTGTCATAATCAGAGCCTTGCCTGTGACCTCATGGTGACCCAGGATGGTTGGACCCCTCCAGCTGAACTCGTGGGCCCCACGCTGAGCGTATGGCAACTCCAGGTCAGGGACATGGGCATGACAGCCACCGTGTCTTGGTAGGAAGCTGGAGAAGCTGCGGGAGAAGGAGCGCAAGAAGGAGGCCAAGCGGAAGATCTCGAGTCTGTCCTTCACGTTGGAGGAGGAAGAGGAGGGAGGAGAAGAGGAGGAGGAGGTCCCTGTGGACGAGGAAGAGCTGGAAAGGGAAGGCGAGTGCAGGGCCCTGGGCCATCCGGGGTGGGGGGATTCAGGGAGCCAAAGCCAGGCCGACCGAGAAACCACCAGCTCTAGGACCACCACTGAGGCTGGCAGCAAAGGCTCAGCCTGTGTCCTCACTGAATCACTGATTTGGTTTGATCTGTGTCACCAGTCACATAGTTACAGAGCTCAGTGGCCACGCCAGGCCTCAGCTAACAGGGACAAATTGGGAAGGCTGTAGAGCGAAGCCAGAGTAGCCTGGCACCCCTGAGCACCACACACCTGTACTGTGCCTGGCAGAGCTATGGAGGGCACCATCCATCTCCTGGTGGAGTCTCATCTGGATCAGGGCAGGTGTCCCGTGGGGGCACAGTGGCAGGGATGGACTGCTTTCTTTCTTTTTGTTTCAATTTTTTTAATTTTAAAGGGGGTAAAATTAAACAGACACAAAACACAACAAAGCAGATCATAAGAAAACAATTTAAGAAACACAGATTTCAAAGCAAGACCACCAGAGATCTTTACTATCACATTGTCTCTTGTTTCCTTCCAAATAGTTGTCCATATCTTCACACACAGTGAATTCATACCGAACAAAAAGGGTACTAAACTGATCAGGACAGGATGATGAAGGCATTTTAGGTTTTCAAGAAAATAGGGACGTCAAGCTGGGTGTGGTAGCTCACGCCTGTAATCCCAGCACTCGGGAGGCTGAGGTGGGAGGATTGTTACGAGTTTGAGACCAGCCTGGGCTACAAAGTGAGCTCAAGGCCAGCCTGAACTGCACAGCGAGACCCTATCTCAGAAAGACAAAAAAAAAAAAAAAAAAAAGAAAAAAAAAGAAAAAAAAAAGACAATAAGGGCGTTAACAATGGTTGCCATAGTGTCTCTCGGTCTCCTCAAAACAGCTGTCCATACATTTAAGTATGTTGAAATTAAATAAAAGAAAACAGACTGATATCACTCTGGACAGAGGATAATAGTATTACTAGACTTTGTATCATGACACTATGGAATTAGCACTGGGTATCTTAGCGTTTCATTTTCTTCAGAGTATCTGTTCATTACATCGTGCATCATATAATCTATTCTTGTAAACTGTTTAGAGGTTCTACACATGTGTGAATCTCTACATGTATACCTATTCTTTCTGTATTAGAGGGAAAAACAAATCAAAATAAGAAAACAAAACAAATTCCTAGAAAAACACGACACGAGAAAGATATATAAAACCAAAATATTAGGTGATCTACAGTAGTTACTATGATGTCTCTTGTTATTTTCAATAGAATTGTTTATATCCTCAGGCATAATATAACTGAACATAGCACTATATAGCAATATTAATAAAAACAAAACATTGGAGACATTATAGGACTTCAAAAGCAGTTAATAATCAAACCGGAATGGGTATCCTACTGCATCTTGTCATCTTCAGAGTAGTTGCCTCTACTCTTAGACTTGATACTATCAAGCATACCAAATTCAAATATAATCAGTCAAGACAATACAACGATCTAACAAACCAGATTCAAATAAGATCAGTCATAGTAAGACAGTGTAAGTAATACAGGGCTTCAGGTTAATAGGAAATTAAAAATAGTTACCATAGTATATCCTGATATTTTGGGGATAGCTGTCTGTGCCCTCAAATCTAGTACGAGTAGACAGACTGGAACAGAATAAAATCAAACTAAACAGAGGGATAAGACTAATGTGGCTTTTAAATCGTGATACACTGTTAACAATGTCCTCTGCCTTCCTTTTTTAGACAATTCCTCCCGCTTTCCCTTTCTCAGGGTGCTTTGTACATTTTGGGTCCCACTGACTCCTTTAGTTTTTAGATTAGGGGGCAACCCACTATCTACCTAAGTGGATCTGAACCTTTTTATCCCTGAGCTTGATCTTCAGCTGTCGTATTCCTTTACCTACTAAAGCCTCAAGGTTTTCCTTCCTTCTAGCTGAGTAGTTCTCCACTGCACAAAAGTGTCATGACTCTCCAACCTATCTGCATCTGCCGAACGAGCTGCCCCTATTTCTCTCTGGCTCCCTGTCACATAGAGCATTGTTTTCTCATCTTTGACTTTTGGTTCATTAACCCTCTTTCAGGTAGATTGTATTTCCTATGCAGAGCATCTGGTTGGACCCTTTCTCCTGATCTACTCTGCCTGTGTTTCTTTTGGTTACTGTATCAAGGCCATCTGTGTTAGAGATTATAGCCAGTCTTCTCTGCCTCATCTCTGCTATGCTATTTTTCTGCCATTGGTTGTCTACTTTTCTCCTTCATTCCACTGTCTTCCCTGTTCATTGAGGCCTCTCTACTACTGTTGCTGGAATCCTGGTGAGTTTG